ATTACCCCCTAACAATACATTTAATAAACAGTTTGTTATCCATAGCACTGTCTAGTATTTCTGCATTTCAAGGTGAAATTGAGAGGACAAAAAGGAATATCTGTATCGGTTGGCAGATTTCTTTCTGGAATTTGATGAAAACAAGTCGGCACATTTTTACAGTATGCAGATTAGAATAAGACTGTGGATAAGTTGGCCTGAACATTTTTGCTGAGAATGTTTTTTCCCAAAAAACACTTGGTTGAATTCTTAGAAAGGCGATATTTTCTTGTCAAGGGGCAGGGGTAGTCTAGCATTATTGGCATTAATTATGGGACTAATATATGCTTTGCAGGTGGGATTTGTACTTGCCTATTAGGAAAAGATCCTTAAAAGTGAATGGAATCATCACATTGTCATATGTTAAACCCAGGCTTTTGCAGGCCCTATGCAACCCAATTTGGTGGACGACGCACGACGGGCGACGGAAAATGGCATGTTTGGAACTGGTAAATGGCAGAACTGGGACACAACAAAAAGCAAAAGGCGACGGATGACGGGCGACGGCAGATATGGAATTCCATACTCTCCAGTACATCAGTATTGTAGCAACTCTGCTCAATCGTCAGTGTCTGCCAGTTTTACTCACATATTTGATTAGGTCGTCCGTTCTGGCCTCCGGACGGAGATTCAGTATCCTCTTCGTCTCCTCGGACAGTCTTTGCTGTTGCCATAGAAGCCGTAAAAAATTATTGAGACTTCGAGAAAGTTCCAACATCCATGCGTGATTAACAAAAAATAATTTCTGAAGAGTTACACAAAACACTACGACAGGAATGAACAAACGAATTGACCCCTTTAAGTTCTTTCTGACTCTTTTGCGTTCTTTCTATGGGGGATGGTATAAGCTTGCCAGTGGAGCCTCTCTTTCAGCTCTACCAGGCGAAGGTCCAAATGGTGGATAGAGGAAATATTTTTGTTTTTGGTTTCCCTGTGTAAATTTTGATGCTGTTGAATTGGGCTTTGCTAACGTAGTTGGCGTCGTAGCTTAGCTGGTTAAAGCACCTGTCTTGTAAACAGGAGATCCCTGGTTCGAATCCGGGCGATGCCTTTTTTTTTAATGTTTGCATTTTTATGAAAATCCATGAACAGGCTAGTAGTATCTTGCTTGTTCGTGAGGGTTTTTCCGAGTACGTGGCATGTCTCTGACATTAAAAATGTCAAAGTAAATATGCGGCTCCTTTTATTGGATACTTTACTGGATATTTTTCAACAGTAGACCCAGGTCTAAATCCGAGCAAATGCCTTTTGATTTCTTTATGTCGGATACCGACGGGGCATCGTGGCTTAGAAACAGGAGATCCCCGGTTCGAATCCGGGCGATGCCTTTTTTTTTTTAATGTTTAGCATTTTTATGAAAATCCATGAACATGCTAGTAGTATCTTGCTTGTTCGTGAGGGTTTTTCCGAGTATGTGGCATGTCTCTGACATTAAAAATGTCAAAGTAAATATGCGGCTCCTTTTATTGGATACTTTACTGGATATTTTTCACCAGCAGACCCAGGTGAAAAACCGAGCAAATGCCTTTTGAGTTCTTTAGGTCGGATACCGACGGGGCATCGTGGCTTAGCTGGTTAAAGCACCTGTCTTGTAAACAGGAGATCCCCGGTTCGAATCCGGGCGATGCCTTTGGAATTTTGTGGGAGTTGATTTTGTCTGTTTTTGCAACATTTAATAACAAGAAAGGTCGACATGCCAAAATAGGGAAGATACGCGCCAACTGAGCTGTAGAAACATGTATAAAAACTTTTAAATCATTCTTAGATATACTAACATTTAAAACGAGGAAGACAGCAAAGGACTTGTGCTCTGTCATCAACATGCGTGTATGAACTGACAAAGGGGCAAAACCAATGCACATTACAGTATTTTGCAGTTCTGTGCGTTGTCAGGATTTTAATCGGGTGTGATGTTGTGCTAGCTAACTTGTACGTCTTCGGCAAGTCTGCTCCTAAAAACTAGAATTCCATTACGCCGCTCGCTTATGCGCCTTTTGTCACGGTGTCTTCTAACAGTTGCAAGGAAAGTCCTACAAGTGCGTGGCGTCCAAGACATCTTGTCAAGATAATCTCGGTATGGTCTCGTCGAATTCCACGCTTGTCTAGTCTACGCCCTGCGTGCATCCCTTGTTATTTTTTATGCCTCTCTGGACAATTCCTCTCCTTATTTCATCCCCATTAGCGGGAACGTTTGTGTCAATATTTACAAACATGGGGACGTCTTGATGCTGTGGCTGATATTGCTTTGTGCGGCAGGACGACCAAAATGTCGGTGAACTCCCGCCCTAGCGTGCTGCGCAAGCTCTGTGACAAATTTGCATGATTGTCGCCATTCGCACTGGGCCGTTTTCTTTCTTCAGACTGCATGCACAGGTTGATGGGAACAAACGTGCAAAGGAACACATCAGAAATTCGACACGTTAGGTCTTGCCTTGTGAGGTTTGAAAAGTTGGAAAAACGTGAGTTTTTCGCTTCTCCATATTTTATCGAACTTTGTGTACCCTTTTGAACTAAAAAGTTCAACAGCGAAAGGCTTGCCGTTTCCCGATCTTTGATAAATCCCACCCCCGTCGTGCATTGCTGTGGTCCAGTGAAGCGTTTCACTTCCCTAACATTATGAACATGTTAGTTTTCTTCAAAAACTACTACCAGTTAGTTGGCCTCAAATATCATAGTATTCTTTTCCCTCAACCCATGGCATGTTACAATCAAATGCTACAAACTGCCCCGTTTTCCTGAACATAATATTGGAACTTGGGTTCTTGATTTCTGTGTTGGTCAACTTCCAGGCAGAGTTGGGGAACATGAACCGACGAACAGAGTGCAACATTACACATTTGCCTCCCCCGTGCTTAATTGACTCGGCTCTAAACTTTCCCCACAAATTGAAACAAAACGAAATATTGGGTGACAGATTATCACAATCCATGCATTGTCCCCACCGTGGCTTTCGGCCACCTTACCTGGCGGTCAGCCTTGAAGTACGCCGGGTCGAACATCAGTCTCTGCCCGCCCAAGAAACTCGATGACGACTCGAATGACATGTATGCTTCTTTTTCCTTCTCCGATCTGTTGAGTTTACATTTTTTTCACACGTTATCAAAGTTTTTTGGTTATTGAGGGCTGAAAGTCAAGCATTTTTTTCTTCTCTGCTTTTGACTGGGAGAATATACTTACGCTAGCTTATCTGAATTAACTGCATGTTTAGTGATGTGTTTGTTCCAGTGATGAATTCCCGGGTTGTTTTTTGAAAACAAGCAGTTGAAAATCTGGCCTGTGTCTAACTAAAATAAACCAGGGATTCTTTGAATCTTATATCTGTTCTAAATAGGTTCGACTCTAACCCTTGAGAGTCTATCTTCCTGGAGGGAGCTCTCAATATAGGAGGTCCGTGAACCTTCCCTTTTCTACAGTTTACTCAGTGTATGACATGGCATATTCTGATCGTAACATCTTACCGAAGGAAGCTTTTGCGGCACATAGAGACGCACAGAACAACCACCTTGGCCACCAGGCGAAACCTCTTCAGACAAGAGATCTGCGAGTAATTTCAAACAGTGCAAAAACAAGCATGAACAAACACGCCATTTAGTAATACTGACCTGCGAGTCGCTTTTTAAAACGTCAGTATGGAGCTGCTGAAAAACGAGGCAAGGATACAACAATTGGAAAACCAGATTCCCGACACTTTATCAGAAAATCTACAAGTTCTATCGTATTTATCCCTGTTTTTGCTGTGTACTGTTGTTTCCTGTGCAATTTTTTCTGACCCCGGTTCCAGTGTGTTTGTAAATCTGTTTTGTGCGATCGTACAAAAGGAATGAGACATACACATGTAAGTGCAACTACATACGTGGAGCAGCTGACACACCTCAATGCAACTTGAAACGATTGCCTTGATTGGCGTTTCTGGATGTGCTGCAAGCTTTTAGACACTATTGTTGTGTACTAAAAGAAATACGACATCAACGATTTTGGGACGATAATTGTTGAATATTTCCTTGAGACTCTGTGCAAATCTCATCGAAATTGCTTTTGCTTGTCGTGTAGCACTTAAGCGATTCCACTGGTCCCTTGAAGTTAGACAGTAAAAGTTAAGACTTTGTTAACATTTTGGATAAACGTGCAGGCTTACCATTCTCGAGAGCGAAAGTGGTTTTATGTTGTGGGCATTTTATTACAAATAAATGGAAAGAGTCTACCAGCTGTCCAAGGTACAAAAACGACGTATGGAGCTATCAGTGCAGTTCAGTGCAGTGACAGTTTACAGGACAATAACTGCATGATGTAGAAGCTGAAGCCTCAAGATAAAAAACTCCCAAGACAAGCTTTTTAAAACCAATGTTTAAAAACAAATTAATCAGAATAACTTAATCTTGAAAATTAACACGCCGTTACCGGGTGGTTTAGAATTGCCTTAACAGTATTCAGTATAGGAGGGTACTTCAAACCTGCATGAAACTGGTTGTTATGGCAACCCAGCCAGCTAGGTGGGCGTGTATGTATCATCTGTGTCTTGTTGATTCTGTTTGAGTGTCAATTTATCTCAATTTGACTCTCGTCTCGGTGTGAACTTTGATTTCGGGGTCGATGCTTCTTCGGTCACTTCGCCGAGTCTAAAGAAAACTCACATCCCTAATGTATTGATTTTATCTCTAAGGGCAGATTCCCGCATGGGCTTATCGGTCGAGTGAAACAAGAGAAGATGTTTGAGGATAAGTGAAACTATGAAATATCGATTTGGTATTGTGTGTTCGTTATGATTAATTGTACAACCGACGGCTTTTTGACAACTATTATTTGACTCTGTACCTTTAAAGCGCGTCGCAACGTGGTATTGGTTACGGATCAATGCAGGAAGGGGCATCGCCATGCCCCTCAAGATTCTACCGCAATGTAGAATTGCCTGTCCTTTTAAACAGCATTCCGAAAGAATTTAAATAATGAGGCGTTAATTATGCGAAAGGTGGGTGCAAACCGAGCCAAGGTGTTAACAGAACTATAAAAATGTTGGAGTCTGTTCACAACGTTTTGATGTAATGCCAGTTATCTGAAATAACGAAGAACTGTTGAGTGAGGCTGGTGTTGTGTCAATATGCATGCTTGTATCTTAGCGGCATAGCATTAATACTTTGCTAACCTGTAAGGTGGAAGTAGGCGTGTCGAGTTCATTTTCAGCTAAATGAAAAATAAAGGTGAAATTTCTCAAGTTGCTTTGTTTATTATGATTGGCGAATCGAAGCTGATACTTTCTGAAATTAAATATATACATATATATATAAGCAGAGTCCATGTAAATTGACTGAATTCGCTCCGAGGAAAAAGGAGTTAATTTGGACAGTCGTGCTCACCGGGTTTGTTTGTTTGGAGGCAAAACGCGAAACATCTTCAGCCAGTGAGGCCGGGGCACGGGACCTTCGTCTTCGGCTAAGTTGGGCCCCGAAACCATCCCCCGAATCCAGCGTAGCTACCTCTGCGGAGCCCCGCTGCCTGCTCACTGCTACAGGCGTTAAGGATGGTCTCTTACCATCTCCTGCAACAGCTGAAGCCTGCGATCCTTTGGAGGAATCTGAAGCCCGTGCTGGCCTTGGCGTTTTCTCCACAAGTCGCCCGTCGTAGGAGCCCCTCCGTAAGGACTTGCGAGAGGCGTAGGACAGGTTTCCGTTGACGTCCAGCAGCGAAGCCGCAACCGATCGCCGCCTCTCGTACAGTTCGACGCCCGCAGGCATACTGGCCGGGGGTTGAGCGCCGTCCTCAGTGACTTTTTCCGGCAGTGCTGAGTCCAGACTGCCTACCGACTTGGAAGTTGACACTGATCTGTCAAGCCTGCCGATCAGCTCCCCAGAATGCTGCCGGTCGGTTTTCAGTGATAAGGGGTCGCTGGAGCCCGAAGAGCGCCGCTGTGACACGAGGTCACCAGCACTCCTGTTTGGGGTTAGGGACCGGGAACGCGACCTGCGCCCCCTGTATACGTCTGGAGGTCCCGGTGGTACAGAGTTTCTCTTTTCATGGATTTGCCGCTGAAGTGAAAAGTTATCCCTCGCCCTTCGCTGTACCATCACCACTGCAATCTTAGCCCTCTCAGTTATCCTCCTCTTCAAATCCTCCAAGGAGAATACGGAGGAGGAGCTCACATCTGAGTCGCTCCTCTCCAAGACGGCAGTTGGCTTTTTCTTCCCTGCTGTCGCTAGCCTCTCCAGCGCCTGCATTTTCCATGCTCTCTTCGTCTCCAGACTTGGCCCCGCGGGGAGGGAGGAATCTGGAAATTCGTTCACCCCACTCCCCGGATGACTCCTGACTGGGCTCAGCCGAGAAATACTCCTGGGGATGCTTGGTAAGGGAGGAGTCTGTTTCCCACCGAGGATCTGCTTGTCACGCTCGCGGGTGGGTCCTGCTCTGTTGATTGCAGGGGTAGAGCGAGTCAAGCTCCCGCTCTTATTCTGGGTTGGTGTTAGGATTCCCCCGCCCTGCTTACCGTTGCCACTTGCTTCCTCTGCCTCCTCGTTTTCCTCGATCAGCGCTTCTTCAAGGGTCTTCCTTTCCATGTGAGCGTTGTTGAGCTCTGCGCTCAGCACTGAGGCCGTCATCTCCACCATCCTGAAAGAGTTCTTGGGCGGAATAATCCGCGTCGCCTCCGGTGCCAGAGCCGGTCGCCTCTCCTCAACTCTTAGATGATTCATGTAGAAATAACACGCAGCCAGGAGAACTCCGAGTGGAAATCCACTGTTTGAGTGTCGGGATACAGTCCTTTCACTTTGCTAACCTATACCGCATGAAGATCTGAATAAACCCAGCTCTTGAGTTGAACGTGTCTACTTACGGTTTTAATTTAGTCGACCGACAGGCTTACACAGCTCTGTTGAGTACACTCGACGCGACGGCGAAGCAGTGATCCTGAAATTTGCTCTCCGTCCATCCTTACAGCCTGTCGACACAGAACAACTTCAGAGCACTATACACGCAGGGTAATTGTGTTTTCTCCAGCAACTTCGTGCTCATTTCGAATATATCAGTCCTATACAGATACACATATTTATGAATTTGATTAGTTTTCTCTCCTGTGAAGACCCCACAGACATGGACAGCTATGTAAATACATGAGATGTGGCAAAAAAAAATCATAATATGTAGCAGCGAGTGTCTCATTATGATTTTTTTGTGACTGGTCTGTTAATAATAGTCCACGCGGTGTCCACGCAACCAGATAACTGACAGATCTGCAGATGTGTGACTTGCATTTAGAGAACAGAGACCTGCGTATCCTGCCTTCCTCTAGAGCCTGTTCAAACAACCTTCTTTAAAGCTTGTGTCTCCTGGATAAACAACCTTCCTCGACTTCATCGAGGCAGGACAATGGCATGGGAAAGGCATGGTGAACAGCTTTATTTCAGTGAGCGAGGTGCGTGGTGAATCTGTGAGTCCTTGGAGGGACAATGTGGGGTTTACGTATGGAGTTGGGGGGTAAATGGCCCCGTGGTTTACTTAAGTTATTAACAGTTCTGTTCCGAACAAGCCGCTATATTCTAGGTTGTGAGTGGGCCGCTGAGGTTTGGAATGAAGCAGTGGCCTTGGGAATGGACAGAACATCTTCCCATGTAGTCTCAAACTTCAGTGTTAACAGGAAAGTTAATTAAATACAGTGGAGTCAAAGGCCCAATGCCATACGCCCAAGAAAAGAACCTTCAAGTTGGCTCCTCCTCGTTCAAGGGACTATAAGAGCTAGGTCCACCAGAAAAATCGGTCTGGCTAAGATTCCCTCCAATAGACCGACTGCGCCCTCTAGGTCAAATGACCTATAGTGCGTATTAAATATCAAGAAACACGGCGTCCACCAAAGGCAAATTGTTTCTATAATATCATTTACCAAAAATAAAGCCGACGGTAGGTACCTTGATCAGATTACTGATGTGCCGGGTACCATACCGTAACTTGGATGTATTGTTTGTAAACAACACTCAAAACATACGTTGAAATGTGGTTGATACCCACTCGGGTCACGTGATTCAGCGAGGGCAATCGGTCTACTGGATATCTTTATTGTTCTTGGTTTTTTTTAATGGCGATTTCAGCAGCTCGGGTTATTTACGCCAATACAATAACTGTACGTTTATTCATACACTTTATTAACCAGCATCACATTACGGAGTTAGGAAGAAGGTCCAGTTTTAGAGGCAGGAGGAAACCGGAGTACCCGGAGAAAACCTGCGAGAGCGAATGTGGCCTGGGAACCAAATGCACTTAAAGCCTGGGCCAAGCCAGGACTCGAACCCTGGCCTCATTGGTGCAAAGCGAGGAAAGAACCGCTACGCTAACCCGTTCCTTCCTGGATATGTTTCCTGTACCCCTTTGCTCTTGAGGTATGCTTTCATGCCACCATAATTATAATTGAGACGATTCTAATAAGACTTGAAGCTCTTTGTCTTTCATCATCATCATAATAAGGTTCAAATAAAAACAAAACAATACAAAACCTAAAGGAAGCAAACAAACACCCCAGTGGTGCACAACTATACATGACAATTTTTCGGTGACATTCTTTGAAAACAAAAAAGCTCCCATATTGTCAGTGTGTTTACATGCGGTCTTTACTACTGCTCCGAATTTGGTTGCTTCATTAATAGCCGACAGAAAAAAAAATGTTTCCTGTATGGGAAAAGGCAATGACGTGAGCAAACAAGACGAGTTTTAATTAAGGAAAGGGAGTATATACACGGTACTTTGAGTGATGGTGAGAATTTTTTAAATAGCTACATGTATATGGATTTTAATTGCAGCAAACCAATCATAGTTTTCATGAGAGAAGTCACCCACCTTCTTTCCCTTTTAAGTTTTGTTTCTTTGTCAACTGGTGTCATTTTTTATGCAGTTATTTAAAATGTCTCCAAATGATTTACTTTTTCAAAGCTGTTCATTGATACTCACGGCCTTTTTCTTAGCTCTGTGTCAATGGAACAGTCGAGTGCTGCCATAATATGCACGCGATGCAAATGGAGAGTTAAAAGTTTAATTGCAAATCCGAGTAAACACAGGCATTACGACGTCTTCGATGTTGAAAGCACCGACAAATAACAAATCACCACCGCGTCTCTCCCGAGCCATGTGATTTGTCTCGATTGAGTCTTCCTTGACACCGGCAAATATTGGTACCCACATAATTGGCTGCCAAGTCAAAAGCTCGTGCAAACGGCACGCCGGCAGCAAGGTCCAGCCAGTCGGCAAGGCTGGTACGCGCAAAGGCAAACACTTGCAGCAAAATCCAAAGGCCACAGGTGATTTTTTTGTGCGGTTGAAGGAGCAAATTGTGGACAAGGATATGCGGCCAACCGGTGTTTTGAAACCGACATCTTGTTTGCACCGAGTTGTTCATTAATAATATCCATGAGATGAATTGAAAGCATATTTTCTATGATTTTCTTTTTCTCGTATATGATGCACCGGTACTGTTTGCCATCTCTTTCTAGTTAGTCTCATGGAGGAGTGTACCAGAATTTCCTAGCATTTGCTTTTTCATGCTTTGGAGGTGCAAAAATGGAGGTGTTGCTGTCAATATGCGAATTTGCAATAGTATATAAAATCGAGATAGCACCGAGACCCTTAAAATGGCTGAATAAACCTGTAAAAGGCTGCAACAACCCGTTCAGAAGATCCTTATTCCTGATGTTTACATTTTTGGGTGGTAGGCAAAAATTACTGGAATGGTAAAATCTTTGTCAAGTTGCCAAACACCATAAATAAAGCCTTCGTCGGTAGTACTGAAACAAACAAAGACACCACCCCTCCCCCAACAAATTACACTTAATACTGCCCCCCCCCAAAAAAATACACATTTCCGTCAAGCATCGTACAGAATATTGATGACAGCATGTGGTAGAAATGTTGTTTGACAAAATTAAATTAATACTTGGCCGTAAAAAGTTAGCTTGGCACCATTGCAACTGGTCCCAATAGGGTTAACAATAGAGGGCAGCAAACATGAGCCTGTATGTTGACTGGAAAAGCTAGGGCTGGGAAGGGCTGATGGCCTTGCACAGATTTTAGTGAAGGAAATACGTCACACGTGGTCACAGCTAACGAAACATTGTTGGTGAATTTCTGCCCGGCGCGCGAGCTCGCTTAATGCGTCAGCCTACACAAGCAGCTGTAATCAACTCAATATTTTTTTTTCTTTTTCTTCCTCATTGCTGAAAATGTTCTCACAAAGGCTAAACTTTACTCATTCATGCAAAATTAAACTGATCGAGACGACCAATGATTTGAAATACATTGCCAAAAGACACATGATCAGTGATAAGTGGTTAAAAGATAAATCACACACTGTGCTTGTTCCAAGACCATGTTTTTATCACATAGTTCACTTTGTCAGTGTCAAAGTATTGCCATTGGCGAAACAAAAAATTTAAACAACGCTTCGCTAACAGGAAGTGATAACCTCGTGGTCAAAGGTCGTGCACGATGTAGCTAATCACAGTCAAAGCCAACAGCCCTTCCCGGCGCCCTGTTCGGGCGCTGGGCGACGAACTAAGGGGTGTGCCAAACGAGCAATTAGCCCAATACTGTCAAGACTGAGAAAACTAGCAAAGCGCAGATCCAAACCCAATTTTTCGGGACCTACATCACCCTTTTCTCTTTACATTTCTAAACAGCTAAAAATATCTGACCCCGAAGTAACTGGGAATAATAAACCAGAGTTGAGTTTACAACAACAAAAAACAGAGGAAACCTAGTCAATAATCAGCGGTATTGGTTAATATGACACGAGGATATTCGCAATTCCAGCTACCATACACCATGCATAGCGTTTGTGAAGCATATCCGGTGAATGCATCAACAGAAGAAATGAGAACTACCGCCTTTAGAAATATGAATTCTTCGTTGGGGAAAACACGAAAATGCTAATTCAACCAAATAATTGATATTGTGCAAAAAGGTTGAAACAATTGATACGTAGGCCTATTACAATAAAAGACAAGGCTTCGGGTTGATCTCATTTATATCGCTACTTCCTGTACAAAACTCAAGTCACCTTATTTTCTGAGTTTAAGTGGACATCCATCTGAGGCCTCAGCGACTTTACCAGCGTACGAACCAAGGTGATTCTCCGGGTAAACCTAACGAAACTCGGCGCAAGAAGAGCGGCAGCTCGGCTGGCCCTGGCGGCCGCTTCGGTCTTGCTGAGCGGCTGCTGATACTGTTGCCTCGTCACTATATTGGCAACCAAGCCGCTATTTCTCCGGACACCATTCTGTTTTACGATACTTGGATTATGTGACGTCCTTGTCTCCTTCGATAAGTTGGGAAGGAGGATATTTGGTACCGACTTGGCGTGTCGTTTAGAGTAGGTGATGCCGGAAATATCGATTCGTGCTTGATCACTTTCATGCAGCGGAGGAAGTTTCAGGAATTGGTCCCCACCTTTGCCCGCCATATTCTACCGGTTCGATATGCGATCCTTCACGTTATACTATCTTACGTGTTTTGCATCAACTGAGCCACCTGCATCATCTCTATTTGTTTAGCTCAAACGGGGCAACTGAGAGGTTTTCCTTTTATCCGACTGAATCCTGTTTCCCCACAAACGACAGCGAACAATAGATGTGCGAAACAAATAAACACAGCGTGTTTGCTCTGAATTATCGGTAATGGATACAGGTCTATAAAAAGATGGCAAATGAAATCAGTACGCACGCAGTAGAACATTTACAAACATAAAGATGACAGAACATGTATATTGCTAAGTACTAAGGCAGAGCAAGCAGAACACATTACGAAGCAGCCGCAGGAAGATCAAAGACGCAAGTATTCGGTCGCGCAGAAACGAAATTGTTTCCACCAAATTCGTTTACTTGCCCACTATGCTCGATTCTCCGGTGTTACGGAATTCGTGACTGTAATTGTAATCGATACTAAGTTAATTTTACTCGATTCCACAGTTTGAAGCCGTAGTTTTTGCCAGTTATGGACAGCCAGTTTTACAAAGAAAAATTGACAGGTTTTTCCATTTTTCAAACTTAGTATAGTTACTAATAATCGCAGGATAATCAACGAATATTATACCAAACACACATGATGAATTAACAATGACACATCTGTGAAATATTGTCGAAATGGATGATATTGGCCAAAACTCTTTGGCTAATAAGATTAAAATTTATGCATATTGTGGCTGCCCATACAAAAGAAAGTGAATTTTTTCCAGGTCACTGTCACAAACGTCACTGGCGCCAATTTTTGTACGAAGCGCCATTTTGTCTGGGCGGCTGTTAGTTTTTAAAACAGAACGAGGAAAACAGCAAAGAGTAATTGCAGCTCATTTGATAAAAAGGAGCAACCAGGGAGAAGCGAAGAGATCAATGAGAAAGATGCGTATATCAGAGCGTAAGTGCGAAGCAACAGCGGCGAGAACACTCCAGCACAACGCCAGAGCTGAGAAAACCACGGGTGTCCAGGCGCGCAAGGTAAGGTGTAACTTAATTCGAGGTTGGCCTACATCATAGAAACGCAAAGACTTGGGAGAGCTGAAGTTATGTACCTCAGGGGAGCAACAGTCAGGGAGCCAATTTGCTATGCAAAACACATTCTGCTGAACACGCAGAGTGCTTTACTTAATTCAAAAGCCATTACCAACATGAACATCCCCCCAACATGCCTCCTACGTTACGCACAGCAGCTCTATGGAGTTGGTAAATTTCAAGAGTAAAGCTAAGGGGCAATCCCTATTAGAGTTTGAGGACAGCTCTCCTATTATGATGCTGGAGGACTCACTTCTGTGCCACCTGGTGTGAAAATACAAAAAAATTCATAATTTTGCTCTGTCTTCTCCATGAAACATAAATGGTGACAGTGTGCATAAAAGACTAACGGACTACATGTAGGCTTACCATAGCTACGAAGGTAATGTTGGACTGATACGCATGCAGTGACTCTGAGAAGTTTGACGGTTGAGGGAAGCAAACGAGTAGAGGAGTCCTGAAAGTTGGGTGGTGTTCTCCAACCCAAAGAAGTAGCCAAGCCAGCCCACCAAGTTTTGCTTATCTTCCTCCTTATTTGAATAATAGCAAGGTTTGCATGTGCAAGCCAGTGCAAGAACACCCCATCATAGAGAACACTAAAGCTGTGTCCATTCTTGTTTCAAGGGTGAAGCTAAAGGTCGAAACAATGTACAAGACAATTTAGACTGAAGTTTATTCATTCGTATCTTTGACCATGCCTTTCTCTTAACTGTATTGTGAAACTGAGACAACTTTTTGTGTTTTTTTCACTCTCTGTTGTCCATATTATTCTTTACAACTAAAACCTTTATTGCTGTGAGGTAACTTCAGTGAGGGCACTCATCCTGTAGTTCAGGGGGTTTGTGTACAGATACAAACCGCAGATACAGCTCATTGGACATGTCAGTGCATTTAGGTTTGTTCAATGGCTGTCCAGTATTAAAAAAAAAACAAGTCAGGTAAGTTGACTTTTGCAAAATTACCAAAGAGGAAGGACTTGTATGGTATATTTATAGTGCACATAAATATAAAAATTTGCATTAGTACAGGAAATCCTAAAAATGAAGCTAAATTAGCCCATAGCAGTCACTTAAACTATCACAAGTCGTCAGATTTCGAGTGATGTGTATTCAAATAAACTGCACTGAATCCATTTTCTGTCAGCCTTTTGTGACTAGTCTTGTGCTGGTCAAGACAAAGACTGACACATAGGCAGAGGTGGCAGCAAGTCATTTTTGCAAGTCCAAGTCAAGTCACAAGTCATTGGGTCCAGTCACAAGTCATTTGGTCACAGGGCAAGTCAAGTCACAATTCTCTTTGTCCAAATACAAATCAAGCTGCACATTATTTTGTCCAGCTGTAATCAGCAAAAAGAACCAGGCATCAACTTACGAAGTTACAAAGTTACTTGGGTTGGTAACAAGTCATTTTTTGCAAGTCCAAGTCAAGTCACAAGTCATTTTTTGCAAGTCCAAGTCAAGTCACAAGTCATTTTATGCAAGTCACAAGTCAAAGCTAGTATTTACAGTCACAATAATAGCGACTCCAGTCCAAGTCACATGACTCGAGTCAGCAACTCTGCACATAGGTAACATTCAAGGATCCTATTTTAACTAATTCTTTTTCCATGTGCCCCTGATAAACCTCTCAGCTTAATGACAACACAGGACAAATCTTGTGAATCAGACAAACCGTTTTTATTCCCAAAGTTAAAAAAAGTACACAGTGACAAATGCCAGAGTGTCCTCACTTCGAAAATGCTATATAAGACTTTTGTTTTCTCTTCTATATTTCTGTTTCTATTATGTACACTAACAGTTTTAATATGCACACGCACACACATAATCCACGAAACATTTGTTTTTTTCCCCCATCAATAGAAATGGCGCTTTATTGCATATGGCCACTGACACAGTGTTAACGTTGCACTGACAAGTCTGTGACGACCAACCAAACAACTGTTATATTTGGCAAGCCCACCTCCTGGCAGACACTGTAAAAAGTCTGGTTTGGCCCATGCAAAGTTTGGGCCAGATCCCATCTAAGCGGCAGTCAGCTGGAGCTGAATGATTTAACCTGCACACAGACTCACGTCTGTAAAGATCTGTCAGCCAGGATGTTTGACTTCACTTGTGGAATTTTAGTCGGTCACCTTCTTTCTGTGCAGCGATCCATTATAATGCAAGCGCATGAGAACTTTGCCAGTTAAAAACGCTTCCCAACTTTATATGGCGGGTCTACATAAATACTTTATACAATGTAAAATATTGACATTAAACACTGGGGTGTTCTCCAATTTCCCAAAATGAAAAAAAAAAATGGACATGAAAAATGGAGAGTGAATGAATTAAAGTTGACACTTACTTTGTGAAATGACACTGATTGCCTGAGTATTATACCCACATGCTTTACTGTACTTTACTGAAGGTAAATGTTAATTTTTTCCCCGAACACTTCCAAATTGTACCTGTCATATGCGCCACAGTCTGAGAGTTATACCATCAAAACCAACAGTACTAACTAATGTTCAGCAACTTCTATGAATCTGTCAGAGGTAAGGTGATTAGTCAGTGTGTTAATGAGTACTACAAATTCACCAATAAAAGAACATTGGAGTAAACACTAACAAACAGTGAACCAAGGGTTTTACAAAGTGCGTGCACCAGTCTAAAAGTTTGCCAACTAACAGCTAAAAAACACACCAGAGAAAAAGAAAAATTGAATGCTCTTCTCTGAACAACAGAAAAGAAAACATCTTGATGTTTTGACTTCTAAAAGTCAGTTTTAAAACAAAATGCACAGGAAAGTTTGTCCAAAAGAAACGTGTGTTTCTAAAAATGCTCACATTATGAACCAAACAGTAGCCTCCATCTCTGACAATCTACAAGTTAAACACTAAATCTTTGTTTCTACAATGAAACACAGCAACATCATAAGGAAAAAAATCGGTTCCAGCAGGACATTCCTGTCAAAACTGACATAGCGAATTTTAGCACATTTTCAAATACATTCTAAGTCTACCATCACATTTTTCTATACATGTTGATTATTCTGTCGCCTTTTTGACACTATATGATACATTAAGAATTTACACAATAGACAAAATGTATAAGAAACTTGTGTATTTACAACATACATTAATCTAGAAATCTTCATCTACAGCAGTTACAATAGCCTCTTATATACATTTTCTGCATCTTTACTTTTTATCAGTTCTACTTAAAGCTCTGCCCTGTTTGAACTATAAATTTTCTAAGTTTATGTGTAAAGAATAAGAGAGTAGGCTACTGTTTTTGAAAGATTTTCTAGGTGAAACCGAAACCATCCTTTTTCCCGTGATGTTTAGAACTACGCAAGGACCTGACTATCTTTAGAAAAAATACTTTTTATTCATTGTTTTATCATGACCAGACACACATTAATCAGAGCCACATGGAACCAATAAAAATGTTATTAATGAGCACAAAGCTAACATATTTTCATATAATACTACTCAAAGTTCAAACTCTTCCAAGTTGCACAATCTAATATTAGGTTTATTTAGGCTGCATACAACTTTTTAATCAATACCAAAATAAAAATACTTCTCATCAATCCACCAATTTGACACACATTAGAACACCACACCAAAGCATTCCAAGCATACCATGACAAAGAGCAAAAATTAGAAAATAACAAGAAAACCATATGCCACAAGAGAGTTGGCTACTTTTCAATTGACAGACTTTGGGCGAGCATGTCAGAAAGTACAAGAAAAGCAAAATTCATAGTGAGAAGTGTATAATTTTCCAGTTATGTACTAAAATAAAAAGGTTTATGGAAAATCACCTTTGTACTTAAAAACAAAAAGTTCAAAAAGCTACCTTTTCACAATTTTTTTTTACCTAATTACATGTACATTAAATCCTTCAATATGCATGTATATCAGACTTGACTTTCCATGTTTTAATAGATTTGATATACAATACTGAATTCGGACTACTCTGGGGCAAAATGCCAAATAAGTTAAGATTAACTCAAGAAATTAAATTCAGTTGAACAGCTAACCCCTAATTTTTTTCCAACTGTCATTAACCCTAACTGCCTAAGCCTTTCTGGCTTGGATACACCTTTGATCCTTCAAAATCCTCCAACTGCTCCCACGGAAAAATCCTCCAATGTTTCTTGAATATGCCCCAAACCTCTGGCAATTCCTCTATGTTGAGGCAGTGTGAATGGTATCTGGGAGCATTATGGACAATTTCATATACATGCATAATCTGGGCATGAATTTATGCATGGGGGTGCGTCCTTTGCAATCAGCAGTGCAATTTTTCCATACAGCCACAATCTTCCTAAATCTTCCAAAACCCCTGAGGATTTTTTAGAAGATTGAGGATGGTTAGGGTTAACCTCAATATGGAAGTGATGACAATAACCTTAAACAGAGAGGGCTAGGAATAACACTGGTTAGCAGCAGCTGATAACCGCCACTGTGCAGTGTCAGAGGTAATTCTAACCCAAGATGACTTCAACAGGTCTTGTTAAATTGTCTGAGCACAGTGCGAAAAGGAAAGTGTGGGTACCATGCACAGTTTTATTTTTATCTCAGCAGTGGAAATGAGCAAACTGAGAATTACGCGAGGCCATGTGGGGTCAATTTCCCTAGTGCACAATTCCAAGGTTACAAATACACATACAGGGCTTTTGGAAAGAGACAGGGCTCTTGGAAAGAGACATAGGGGTTGTGCTCATTCCACTGAAAATTTATCTTGCACAGTGTCAAATACTGAATGTCTCATTTACACCAACCCAATGTGCCCTTCCTTGGGCTCTGTTGCAGGCTAAACAGCTTTCTCTTTCTGTGTAGTTCCTGTAGAGACCCCATTAGGGCCTAGAGCCTTGGAAAAGTAATCTATGACACAGCACTCCCAGCAACAGTGTAATATAATAAAAGCATTTCTACATCTTTTCTACAATGGCTCATAAAATAAAGCATCTGAACTGAGTACATATATTACTAACTCGTTAACAGCACACAAAATATTTTTTTTTCCTTTTTTAGATTTGAAAATAGCAAAACACTTTGGACCCCCAAAATGGTTAACACAGTGTCACTTGTGATTAAAAAAAAAATTTGCAAAAAGCAAGCCCACACCAAACACAATCCAATAATTTATGGTTTTGCTGCACACGTTAACTACACACTATAGAGTTTATAGATACTGACTTGCATACAACTGAATACTATCTTTAGACATCAAAACTATGAGGTGTACAGAGTCGTTTCTATACATGTATATACACTCAAATACTGATTGTAACAACTGCTACATTTTCTCCTCTGTTTATTTTCATTTTCTGTCTCTCCCCATAATTCACTTTTGTGCGATCTGAATATTTGAGACTGGATGAATTGGAACTAAACTACAAAACAGACTGTGCTTCATTTCCCCTTTTTCTATTTTCTTTTTTTTTTAATCTAAATTGATATATTGTATAATATCTTTATTTATATCAAGAAAAGGATATTTCTGCTGCACTCACTCAATCACAAAGCTACAAGGAGACAATGTTCTACTACTGGTGGGTAAAAATGCTAAGTAACCAGGTCAGAGGGCAAACTTCAGGGGTCAAAAGGTCTTCTATAAAAGGCAAATGATGCAGTAGTTAAGCCCTGAGAATCTAATTTTTCTTACGTAGTCATCTATCCTTCAAAGGTCACTGAACCCCAAAGCAGAAAAAGGAGAGATCTATATGATGAAAAGTAAAACTTTTGGGTAAAGAAACTAACGGCTATACAAAAGCTATTCCATTTAAAGGAATGAAATTCTTTTTAACTGACTCAATTTACTCTAATTCAAACCCACCCAGTAGGCCTATTAAACTCAGATGTGGTTGTAATCATCCTGCTTTTTGCTTGTATCAGAACTAAACAAAAGTCATTCACTCATGCAGGATTTAGAGGTGGAGGGGTTAGTCTGGTGTCTATCAGAAAAAGAACAAGGATGCAACAGAGGCGATGTCTTCCCGTACTGTATGGAAGTGTCCCCCACCAGAGGCAAGTGCCACCCACAAGGTGGGGGTTGTCTAAGGAGGTCAAGCATACAGTGATAGGGGGAGGGTGCATGAACAAATTAAGTTTTGAGTCAGACTCTAGCAATCACCAATACTGTCTATTATATCCTGAACAGAAAGTTGACACAAACTTCCACTCATCAGCATGTCTAATTTCACATCACAACAAACAGTGACCCTTTTTTGTTTTCTTTTCAAGTCAGTTTGAAATTAATACTGTTTTCAAATACATGTACAATATTTTTTACAAACATTACATATTTACATTCTTATTTACAAGTCTCTGTACATTTACAAATGGAGTAAAGTTTGAATATGTTGAGCAAAAGAAAAAACATACAGATATTCAGGTGAATAGAATTTTTTCGCCTTTTTAAATTTCTGGTGGAGAACTCCATTGCATTTCTGTATTACTAATCATATAAATGTGCAAATGTTTTGGAAGTAATCCAATGACAAATAAATTTGGAAAGTTTCCAACCCAAACAGACATCCCTTCCATTTTTTGACAGAAGAGATAGATGTAAAAATAATCTTGGCGTGATTTTGACAGTAAATGTTACCGAGACCTGTCAAGACACAAACTCTAGATTTTCTTTTATTTCTTGCCTGCTAGCTTTGATAGGAATCAGAAACAGTGCTCGAAAGGTCACAGACACCATTGACACCACTGCCTTTGATAAATACATGTACATGTACACTGAAACAATTTTGCCGACTGAATTAAAAGGGCAAACCAAAGAGGAAAACAAGCTCTTCAGTGCCACAAGCAGACATGAAAATAATTCCCAAACCACAAAATCCAGCACAGCCATCAAATTTTTTTTTTCTTATTCCTTTTCCTTTTTTGTTTGTTTTTATTATCTTGTTCTGCTTTTATTTACTTATTTTTTTATTTAGGTTTTTGTTTTTGAGTTTTTTTTTTCTTTTTTTTGGTGTGTGTGGCTTCGGTGAAGTTACACGTAGCTCAACCACACTTCAATGTTTATCACAGTCAATTTATTTACATTCTTCAATTCCAATACCATCACCCGAGGTACATTAGTACAATACAATTAACTTCCTTTGTGCTGTGATACCACTTCCTCCTCTGTGTATGTACCTCTCAAAAGGTTGTGGTGGGTGAAAACGTTTTAACTACATGCAATTGCTCCTGCTTTCTGTGTGTGTTCAAGCGTGGATAATCCAGTGTAGAAATAAACTGGCTCACAAGGATTACTTATACAGTTGTGTAGATCTAGAATTTTGTTGGTCTGATCATAAGCCACCAAAGCAGAAATGACACCCCATTTAATTCCCCAAATTTGCTACATGACAAACACTTCCCAAACTGCTGTCAGAAAATTCAACTACATGTAAACCTTATCTTTCTACAGATTGTGATTTGTGAACAGGGCTCACTTATTTTGGGTAGCATTATCCCAATTGGTTGAGTGTAAGGAAATGTAAGACTTGTGCTTTCCCAAATGTTTTTGCTGGGGAAAACAGACATAAGAGTTGAAAATACAACACAAGTTGAAATCAGTATGCCTGTTTTTCAGGTTGAGAAGAAAAATATCTGAAAGGAACTTTCTCAAAAGAAATGAAATGATTTTACCATCTGTTCAAAATGTGGTGGATACCAGTTTTGTATCAGAGCCCTTCTTCAAATAACATGTTGTGTAAAGTCTATACTCATGTACAAAAATATTCAATTTTATTCTATCAAAAAACAAAAAAGGGTTCATTTACAAAAGGCCTGAAAACAATACTGTCATCCTTCACACAGAAAACCAACTTCTTTACCTCTCCTCAACCACAGGCAACATCTTTTCAATCCCTAAAATATAGAAAAATGCATTTTACAGAAAATAATAGTTTAACACATAAAACGGCTGTTTCTTTTTTGCAACAGTTGCTTGATTTTCTGTTTTCAAAAGAAACTTTTATAAATCTCAGTGTAAGCAGACAGTAATACAATTTCGTCTTGTGGTTGCTCTTCTTGAGTTTTTTTAGCTTCTCCATTTGAATTTTCTTTAATTGTAAATGTATTCACATTTGTATACAAGTAGAAATGAAAACCTCAACAAACTTCAAATCTTATCCGAAAACCCCTTTCCAAGATGCAACAGTGTACCACAGAGAATAGTAAAAAGTGTTCAACAAATAAAACAAATCCCCGGTGCTTGATGGGTATCACCCTCTTCAAGAAAATTTATGGTATCGCAAAAGAAAATTACCTTCTACTCTGCTGATAATTGCATAACTACATGTATATAGTGTACTCTTTGAAAATGCCAAATAGCAAGCTGTAGACACATACCAAAAAAGCAATTCCAATCAATCCAAAGCCAGTAAATATACATTTATATACAAGATTTCATATCAGCCAATAAAATCCCACCTCCCAAAAGTGACAAGCAACTCCTCCAAGAAGAATCTAAATGAAAATCTAAACAATACTCTTCCGGAAGATTCAGTGACAAACATGCAGTCCAAAAAAAGGCTCTCTCCCTCGAAACTAATGCCAAAATCTGCTGTGGCAAGCTATGAGTTTTCAAACATTGTCTGAAGCCACAACTATGGATGTCAAAAACATTTTCATATACCACTTGTGTTTGGGTAGAAAACTGGTAGACTGCTAAAGCCGCAACCCGGTTCAAACTTCAGATTTCTTATTCTAATATAGTGCTTATGGATTCTATCTTCATCCATTTTTCACAGCTTCTATCCTTAAAAGCTAAATATTACACAAATCTGCCTTTACCTGATTTTCTTCTTCATGAGGTGTGACACAGCAATTTGAAAATTAAGTACAGCAAGACCTCTCTAATTTAAAAACGAGAGCCATGTCTGGCTTTGTCAACATACATGTACTTCTTAAGAATTTGGTCCAAATGCCTGTCAAGAAAACCAGAAATCCAAATAAGGATTTTGGCTGAAAAATCCCAACATACAGCAAAGAGCTTACAGTTTACACACCTACCTAGGACAGTATGAGGAAATGCAACTGTTGTTTATTTCCAAAATTTGTCTTGGTTTTCTGTCTATCATCCAGATCTCATACATCTGTCTTCTGGAACCAGATTAAACAGTCTCACAATCCCACAACTTTGTTTTCATGCTCAACACCCTACTGCTGTATTTACAGAGGGATAAAAAAATTTCTCCATAAGCCTCATGACCGTTCCCAATTTACAGACATCTGGACTTCAATCAATGCCAAAATACTCCCTCTTACCTTTAGACCCGAAATATACATATTTCTGAAGTTAAAAAAAAAAGACACAAGTGTCTCTTTATCCGTGAGCTAAACAGACTGTGCTGTGACTACAAGATCCGAAGCAATATCAGCTAGTTGTCGCAATTATTTTCCCTTACAATGCTCCTTTCAACTTTCCACAACCACTTAAAGGCCATTTCAACAGGCTTTCCTAAATTTTTAACCTCTGATCTCAGTATGATTGATTAGATTCCACAGTTTCTACCAACCATTAAAAAGGCCACCCTTGTCTGGCTCCATATTATGCAATTTGGTGCTTCAGAAGCAGGGAACTAGAATAGATGAACCGTTACAAGACTGAGTCATCACAGTAAGGGTTCAAATTTGAAGGTAAACTACCCTAAGACTACCCAAGGTTTGACAAATGGCTCATATTGTGCTTGAGACATTAAGGTATAATTAGTGGATATTGCTTTTGTATCGCTCGGATAAGACTGAGTACACTTTCATTGTGCATTCATTGTTACATCAACACAACAATGTACAGTATCTGAGCTGCCCGCTATGCATAAGGTCTACGCCAATAAATGGCTTGAATTTCTCAAACTAGCAGGTCATAATTTATGCTTTATGTAAATGAAGGTACATCAACTCCTGTTTAACACCCTAAAAGACACTGTAACTGCCTTGCTTGGACAGAAATATCGCTTTATCCAACTCTTATTTCATCATGATTACAACCTAAGAATTACTGATGTCAGTAGGAAAGGAGCATTATAAGGGAGGTCTGCAGAGCAGCGTCACATAGCCACGATATTTCACATGATCTCCAGTCGCAAAAACAGTCAGCATAAGAAAAGCTCACACTTAAATGCAGTTTGGATTGATTGTACTTGTCAAAAATAGATAATCTGTGAGCACACCAATGCTTTGGTGGTATCAACTGACTTACAGTATGAAAGAGGATTTCAACAATGATCTAAGTATGGACTGGATCTACATTGGTCTTACTAAATGTGCATGACCTTGCTGCACCCAAACAAGCTAGTACTAATTCTTCAAAGTGAGGTATGTGAACATTGCTGTGAGCTCAAATGTGATGTACATAGTTAAAAATTCAATTCTGGTTTTTCAGTTACAATCTGTGTGTCTCTCCATAAATTGTAGTCAAACTTCTTTAACAATTTGATAGTGTCGCTGAATTTGCAGTTTTTCACTGTTTCTAATGACTTCATTACCAGTTTACAGGTTGGCGATCACTCTCCATACAACTTTTGAACCACATTATGACCTGCCTAATTAAAGTAGGAATAGAAGCCATCCTTGTTCTGCCGATTGCTCAGGTCTTTGATAAGCATCAGTGGGTCAGGAGAAGCTGTCTTTCCTCGGTCTTCGAGAGGGAACCCTGTTTTGCTGAGTTTAGGCTTGGGAGGTGCACGCAGAGCACTGGCATATGACATAGATGATGACAGAGGCTGCATGTCTTCCTTAGATTTAAGATTGGCCCCTGTGCCGATTGGGCTGAAACGGCTGCCCGGGTTTGGGTTAAGTGAAATGCAGTCATCCTGCTGAGGGGGAGGTAAGGCAGAGACAAGCTGCTGTGACTCGGCCTGCGAGTAGTCAGCAGTCTGATTCAGGTACCCGCGGCTATTACTGACAACTGAATTGGATCTTACCCATAATTCAGGCTCCTCCTTGTCCAGGTCCTCCACGAAGCTTGGGAAGGCGTGCTGGTCCTCCTGGGAGCTCTGCCGGTAGAACTCTGTCTGCGAGCCCAGTCTAGGGAAGTTTGATTCACCTGAGAAGAAACCTGCATTCTGGTGACCAGAAGAGTGCCTTGAGCGGTCCATGCTGTTGGGCATGTGGTTGGAGTTAGGACTCAAGGATTGCTGGTGATGGGCTCCACTGGGAGAGGGACTGTGGCTGTTTTGCTGGCTGTAGATTGATCGTGGCATGTGGACACCCCTTGTCCGCAGCTCGATTGGCTGACCTGTCACACTCTGTTGCTCCGGGCGTTTGGTGATACCAAATGCCATGTCACTGTTAGTATCAGGAAATGCCTGCTGACTCCTGCTGCTGACTCCATATGGAGGTTGACCTGTGAGGTGGTCAACAATATTTCTTGAAAACACTTGGTCTGGTTCCTGAGGGCTCGACTTAACTTTCGTTTTTCCTTGATGGAGCATGTTCAGAATCTCCTGGCCAGCCGCATTCCCCTTGAATGCACCATTAGAGTCATACCACGGCTCATTTCCATTGTTGCGGAGATTGCTGTTCTCCATGAGCTGCTGTTGTTGAGCAGCCAGTTTTACAGCAGTCTGCAGCTGAGCACTAGACGCACTTGCATTTTGGGCAGGATAGACACCAAGCCGCTGTTGCATTTGTTGAAGCCTCTGTTGATGCAGCATTTGTGGACTTGGGACCTGGTGGTAGGATTGACCCTGCTGTCGAGTTCCATGGGATAACCTATGCAGTGCTTCTGCCGCTACTGAGAGTGGTGGTGGTTGCCCTGGTTGTTCTGCTGCTGTCTGGTGGTGTATGTTGTGCTGCTGTTGCTGCTGCTGCTGTTGCTGCTGCTGTTGCTTGGGAGAATGCTTCAAAAGGAAACTGCTTGCATAATCAGGTCCCATTGTCCTTAAATAGTAATTGTACTCCTCATGGATTCTTAGCTCTTCCAGTTTTGCCACAACCTCTTGCCTGTCACTGGCAGAGCTGGTCTTGGTGCTGCTTGACTCTGAGCCACTGGTCTTTCTCTCCCTTTCCCTTGATGGTGAGCCAGGTTGCCAGTGGGCATTTGCACTGCTGGCTTCCTTCGGTGAGTTCGGATGGGATGATTTGTCAGACTGCTGCTTCGGGGAGAGCTGAGGGGAGGAAACACCTGCGCGGTGTGTGGGTGAGTGGCGCATCATGTGTGAGAACCCGTATGGAGGCATCATCAGGGGAAAACCAGCAGGGTCTACATAGGGGGCCTGAGCGTAGAACTGCGGACCAGCCGTCAGCATTCTTAGTGGGGGCATGGGCATGACATAAGGCATTGGCATCACATACATCCGCTGACCAGTGATAGGGTCAAAGGTTGGGATGGGACTCCCTGGACGCACCATTCCAGCATGCCCGTAGGGCATCCCAGCTATGGCACGTAAGGATGCGTTCATGCTCGCTGCCTGGGCAGCAGTCAAGGACGTTGGGGTCTGGCCTCCTGGAGACAGCATTCCTCTAGGCAACCCATGGCCCATCATCCCCACTCCATGAAGGCCAGCTCCTTGGATCATGGGGGCACCTGTGACCTGATTTCTCAATGCCTGGGGAATGAACTCCTTAGCAAGCGGGTTCAAGATGTAGGTTTTCTTCATCTCGACACCTGAAAGCAGGGCTCGTATCTCGTCGTAGGTGATGCCAAACAGACTCTTGTTCTCATGAGCAACTTTAATGAAGTTCTCCCACAGAATGCTGCAGAGAAACACAAACTGTTATGAACTTGTCCTGGATTTGGTATCTGAATTTGGCAAATGCCAATTACTTGAATTAACCCGAACAATTCTCAATCCTCCAATTTCAATATGACTTTACATACACCCGAGGGGGTTCGGGATTTTAAATATATTTTTTGCTCCAGTAAAACCACAGAAATGATTTCTCAGTCTCAGAAATGAAAACTCTTTTCTGTAACATTTTCTGTTCATCATATCTGTAGAGTTAGCTCTGAAGTTGGTCATCACCCACATGGCTGAGGAACATTTGGTGGTATTTGATATGTTGTAGATGTGGTAGAAGGAGCCACTCAGAGTTTAACTCTGTTGCCTATACAGTTTGGAAATTCCGTCCATGAAATCTGTTAAATTACAACAAATTTAAAAAAGGATCAACTGACAGATTGTTTGGAATGTCACCAAGGCTTCAAATTAAATTCCCCTTTTTTACTAGTTAGGAATTGTTGGTTGTGTTATCAGCTTTCCACAGCCAGATTTTATCATACTGAATAATTTCAAAATGCCCCAACACATTCCAGAACAACTAGCACAGCCACAAATATTGTTATCGATAACAATTGAGTTAATTTGAGTGACCCTTTATACCTTATCTGAAAAAATGTCAATTATCACAATACGTTCTTCAACTTTGTAGAATGGATCCAAAAGCTTCCTTTTCTCTGTACCTGCACTTGCCAATTGAGCACAGTGACACAGGATCCCCAACAACTGCTACCAATGACTGGGCCCTGGTGATGGCTGTGTTGAGTAATTTGTCACTGGACAGGAATCCGTAGTCTACATCGTCCTCCTCCAGCCCTGCCTCCCCCCTGTTCCCTTTCTTGGACTTTGGGGATCGGGTCTTGGTAGTAGACTTGCAGGTGTTATGGGTGCGGACGGTGCTGATAAACAGGACTCGGAACTGTTTACCTGCAAGAAAGCCAACGTATTTCAACTACTGGAGCAATTTCGTAATGGTTCTCAAGGCAACTCATTTTGCCATGAGGCAACATTTTAGTATGTTCGAACATGTTATCTTTTGTTCCCTTACTATCAATAGTAATTTTAAAGTTGACACTAACTCTCTTTCTAAAACTGCTTATTTTGCCAATGACCTTTAACCCCTTTCAGTTCTTCAGTTATGAGCTGATAATGATTAGAATTTGACAGGATGCAAACAAAGCAACAAAAGACGAGAAGGGTTATTGCATTCTGTTGTTTCTTAAAGACAACAATGACAAGTCTCTCTAATGACGAGCTGATATACACTGCTACAAAAAGAAAATACAACATTTTGCTTAGGAGTTACCTTGCACGTTCATGACCCTCTCAACTGACACACTGTGCAGTCGCCGCTTGCGTAACTCAGACCTGATACGGAACACCTGGTCGGCATAGTGGCTGACGACCCCGATGCTCGTCTCATCTAAGTCTCCCCAGTCCTCGACAGGCCAGGACTTTTGCAGCTCAGCGACTCTCTCTGCGATCTCAAACACCTAAGGGGAAAGATTTTAATCACATGATATAAAATTCTTGAATTAACAGTTTGTGACTACTGCATGGTGAACTACTATCCACAAGCAAGTAAAATACATCAAGTGAAGAAATATATTTTAAAAAAAGTATAGTTTAGAAGATATATAATGTGACATGTATGATGAGCTTTGAACCTTTTATGGTGAGGGTAACAAGTTGGCTGTACAGGTTTGCGGTAGCTACATACAAGGATATCTCTTATGAGTATGTGTGGTTCTGAAAAGAACCAGAATTTTGCAAACCTCTACAACTAATGTGACATGCATGGTTTGTAACTTGTGCTCAGCTATTGGTTGAGCAGCTATCTTCTGCTTCGCAGCTCCACAAATGAGTCAATCCATGGGCTAATAATGATAATTGTCAATGAAGTGCCAGAGTTATGAATGGGCTTCTAGAAATGATTAAAAAGTTCCATGGCTTGACAAACAGTGGCTAATCACCTCAGCATTGTTGTAGAAGGAGGTGCTGTTTTTCTCTTGCACATCCTCACCCCGAGTGGTGAAGAAAGTCATCGGGTACCAGACCTTGTGGCCCACCTGCTTGCCACTGGCAAGTAGTTTGTTCTCGTAGAACAGCTTGGAGGTGTACCGGACAATAGCCTCATGGGAGCGGTAGTTTTCACACAGCAGGATCTTACAAGGGTGCTGTGCTGGGTACAAGTCGTAGAGGCGCTCCAGGAGGGAGATGTGGAGGTTGCGGTCCCGGGCAAAGTTTGAGTGGACCTCAGGGCTGATCTGTCAAGGGAAAGGGGAGAAAAAGTTGGTTTTGGGACTAAAAGTTCCTGTCTTTAACAGCATCCTCTAGACTCATTTCCTGAAGTTCCATCCATTACCTTTCCACAGAAAGAAACAAAAGCTATCAACTGTAAGCTACAAGACAATGTAAGAGAACCTTGCCAAGCAACACAAAAACTGGCAGTGAAACGACAACTTACTTGCATGTAGTCACCAGCGAGTACGATGCGGGTATTTTGATTGGCTAATGCCAGTGGCATGATGGTCTCACATTCCATGGCCTGGGCAGCCTCATCAATCAGAATGTGTGTGAAGAAGCCTGACAAGATAAACAAAGGAGCATGCGACTGCCATTATTTACTGTTACAGGGTCGTTTCCATTAAGTACAAAGTTCCAGGTGGGCATATGCTACCTGCCAGAATCACTAGGTAAAAGGTGTACACTTACAGTTTCCAGGGAACTTTAGCACACTCCAATACAGTACATAGGACAAATGGCTTAGCATCCAATCCAAAGGACTTGACCCTCATGAGTAAAAGTAGAGTCTTTCATGTCTCGGCCTAGCATGTATCAATCGCATCAAACAATGTGGGGTAACATCTACCATTCCAGTAATAAAGCAAAATTCATGCCACTGAAATAGACTTGTTTGCTAACTGACTGACTGGGAAGAATGAAATCTCTGACTCCTGCACAAATTAACAACTTGCAAAATGAATTTAGCCTCGAGACTAATATGAAACGCTCAATTTAATGAATCATTTCAATGCATACACTGCATAATAAATGAAAAGTAAGGATTTTAAAAATGTTCATTTCTCTGCAGACTTTCTGATAAAGCAAAAAGGAAAACAAATTCTGACTTCAGTTTTATAATTTACCTTGTCCCAGGTCAAGATGACTGAGAAACCGAGATGTGCTGAGGGTAGCCACGACAACTCTGGCCTTGGTTACCTCCTCCTTGGAAGGCATGGCAAACTTGTCCAGGGTCTCTGTCATGACACAGTACAGCCGCACCAATTGGTGGACTGTCTGCACCCAACGGTCTTTGAAGTAGATGCGGAGAGGCCGAGCAGCTGTGAAGCCTGCTTCAACGTAGGAATGCAGGTAGTCTTTGATGTACAGGTCTGCTGCACTATATTAGAAATGGAAAGTAAACTTGATTAACACTGAATTTGCCATAAACACTGGTTTTGAGTTTTTTGGTACTGACATTCTCAACTCTGATGTTCACAATGCATTCGATGCTCCTTTAACAACAACCCTCCTCAATACTAAAAATCGGGGTTAATTGGGAGGGCTTTACAGGATAATGTTGCAAGCCGTTTATTTTTACTTTGAAAACATCTGTTGGTTTTGAATGCACATGCTTCACCTGTTAGAGTGTGTGCAGATGAGTATTCTCGTTTTGGGCTGTTGCAGGATCAGCTTAGTAGCATGGGCCAACGTGAACGTCTTCCCCGTGCCATATGGCCCCACCAAAAAGATGGGTGGCAAATGGACATTTAGAGGGGTTGTCATGGCAATGATGGCCTCTCGCTGCTTGGCATTCAGCCGCGGATCCATGTTTTGGTCCCATTGCCTGGAGGGTAAATTTGAAAGCAATGTTAAGTATCAAGGAAACAATTTCGAGCCATAAAATGGTTGTTGAATCTACAAGATCTACGATGGTCATACGTCTTAATCCCAGGTCAACTTTGGATAAGGTGTTTCTATATAACCGAAACGTAAAGGTGGTTGGGACCAGGGAACAATCTCATGGAGCTACTCAGAACAGAAATTTGCCACATGATCACAATGGTTGGTTGGCAAAAATAAACCACCTGCCTAATGTGTCACTTGTCAAATGTCATACCACGAAGGGTTCCTAAATTATTTTTTAAAGTCAAGTTAGACCTAGGCTGACCATTGCCTCAAGCTCAGATGCTGAGTCAGAGACTACTTAGTGCAACAAGGTAGTCAGCTTCTTGTCTTAATAACTCTAACTGTGTCAATGGCAGCAAAGACTGGGTTTGATTTACACAGGACCGGGAGGATTAAGGATAATAAACTCCACAGGGTCTTCAGTCTTCTAATCCCACAAGTCTACAAGTCATTGTGAACCAGGCCAGTCAGCCAGCAAGGTGGGAGGAATACGGCAACTAACTGATGACATCATGTCTCCGGGTCTGAGTCTGGAATCCATGTCGCTTTCAACACTGATTAATGTGGCAGTAATGACAGTTTTAGAATATGTATTTAACAAGACCACATGACTAAAGCGAAGAAGAACCTTTTTCCCCGAGAGCTTACTTGCTTGGTGTCCATGGAATGCTGGGCAAATTCCTTACATTAGGAAATAGCAGGTTCATATCTTGCTGTTTATCCACAGCATAGTGCATTTCGCAAAGAGGTAACCTGTCAAGGAAAATACAAGATAAAATACTGAATAGCATTAAAAAATAGAGCTGAGTGGACACCGTTAACATGAGCAGTGACCTGAAATGATCATGATAAAATAGTTAACCCTGCAAGTACCAAATCCTCTATTTTCTTGGAGGAGTCAGTACGTGAGGATTAACAGAACAAATCTGACAAAGTACAGTTCACGGACAGTTCTTATTATCCTTCACTGAATGTATATTAGTGCATGACAATGGTACAGTCTTAGAGCATAGCCTATTAGGGACTGACTAAAACTATGGTGTAATGATATATTCTTCCATATATTCATGCTTGTGCATGGTGGTTGGACTAGTCTCACTGACCGTTTAGAACTGCAGTTGGTTGCATTACTGGATATCAAAAGCTACATGTCACTGTATATAGCAGGCAGTAAAGACCATGATGTTTTATGAAGAGGTGTGAATGTAGTTTGCCAGGAAAGGTTTGTACTTTTAAAGTAGCCTCTGGCACAACGGTCCTCCATTTGGCTTTGTATAAGTTGTGTGCAAGGGCAGGACGAATCAGCTAACACAACCTTTATACACCTAATGAAAATGATATCATGTCTACCATCACAGCCAAGAATGTGCCAGAGCTTGAAATGATGGCATACAGAGCTTGAAATGAGGGCTATGCCTTGTATGACGCTAATATATTTACCACAGCAAAGCCATTCAACTTGCCTTCCACAGTTTAATCACATTTTATGTGTTTACTACAGGGCACTGCTATGGCTAGTGTAAAACAGCACAAAGCCGTCAAAATACCAAATGATGTTCCATTTATTTCCTATTATCTATCCATTCTTGCAGGCTCTGCATTGTAAATTGAAACTGGAACTCCATCCTTGTTCTCCGTTATTGCGTCCAGCCGAATGGACCCTAGCAAACTTTTCCTAGAAAGGGATTTTCCCAATTTTCAACCCATTTACCTATTGAGTTGGAACTGCAGCTCAACCTTCAATTCCATGCTTGTCTTAAGATGCAGCGCATCCACGCATGCCTTTGACAATGTCAGATAGATCTCCCCCTTGCCCTTTTCGGTGATGATACACTCGTACACTGTTTTGGGGGTGTCTGAGGGGGCAGAGGAAGGGCCATTGAAGGTGGTCCCAGTGGCTTTCCCTTCTTCCTGTTGACCCTTCTTGGCACCCTGACTTTTGGGGCTGTGTTGTGGTGCCATCAGCACTGAGCTGCAGCTGTTTAAGACGAGCTTGCCTCCTTTGGTGTCCTCTGACAGCTCGTCGTTCAGGCGAAGGAGGGCAAAGAGTTGTCCGTCAACAGAGTAGCGGGCACCGACATTGCGGGAGGGGACAAGGTGAAAACTTGAGCTAAGCTGGAGGGTGGTGCGGATATTGAATCTGAAAATAGATAAATGGGAAAGAGTTAGGTGGTTAGGTTGGCATATGGCAAGTGGACGACAGCAAAACCTTTGAAGGTTTACTCAACTCAAGGTTTAACCCAGGACCTGCTGCTAATAAGTAGTACCAATTTCAGGGATCTAACCAGCATTTATGTCAGAAAGCATCCTGAATCTACAACTGGGCAGCACATGAATGACTTCCTCTTTTGACAGATAGGAACACTGGAACAGTGTATCTAATGTCAAGTGTTTTGTCTTAGCCTGAAAGTCCTGAATACTTTAGTACATTAGAAAATGTTGAAATCGAGTTGGAAAAACCTTGGACCTTGGTTACGGACGATGACACTCATTTTCTGGCTTACTTGCTGAGATCCTTGAAGCGAGCCATCTCTTCGATGTACAGCAGCTTATGCATTTTGTCCTGGTAGTTATTCTTGGTCAGGGTCTTGTCCAGCACTGAATTCTGAAACAGCTCCTCCGTGGATCGAGGTGGCACATAGAAGCTGAGCAAGCCCTGGTCCTCCTCCATGGCTAGGGGCATCTTGGGCTCAAATTCCTGGATGGTCTTGTTACTGGCATCCCAGCGCTCACTGACGCAGCGCATGGTAGCTCGCACCTCATCTAGCTCCTTCTGGCTTGCTGGTGAGACGGCATCCACCGAGACTCGCCGCATCAGTGCTGGCTCACAGCCAAAGTCAAAGACGATGGACTGGCGGAATGTGCCGAATATCTGGGAGGTGAACTGGAGCTTGATGCGGTACAGGCGTTCCTTGGATTTGCCTGCCATTGAAGTGGAGGATGCAGAGATAAAAATTACCAGATGCAAAATTCCAGTGACTACAAAAACAAATTCCAATCTCGGTAAAATATTGACTAATAACTTAAACAACACGGCATGTGTACAAGACAAAATAATTTTTTACTACTGATAGCTGGAGGTTTAAAAAAAAACAGTATCATGAAATTTATGAAGTAACTAGCTCTACCACGAAACTTCAAAGTAGACCTCATGGAGCATTGGTGTGGAAGCAGTAGTGTAGAAGTAGCAGTAGTCTCGCCAAAGTGCTCTGTAAAGTCAAGTTTTGCCTTTGAGAAAGATTCTGCTAGTATCGAAACGTCAGGGCCTCCATGTTTTGATTTGTAGTTTAGGTCACTGTAGTCAGCAAGCAATTTGCAGCAATTTTGATATTTTGATGATATGATAATATGATACATTATGATATTTGCAAATAACTGCTACTTTCTATGCTCGATTCAAGCTCCTTCGTGACTTACCCAGGAGATTGTTGTTGCTGTTTGGATTGGTCCACTCCTGACAATTCTCTGTCAGCTCCTGGGGCAGCTGGCGCTTGGCATCCCCGATGGATATACTGGCTATGTAGAAATGGGGGCGGTGGATGTCGTAGAGGAGGGCGACTCGGTGAAGGTTCTTGGAGGGCTGCAACGTCCCCAAAACAAGAAAACCAAATTAAAAACCAGCAACTGGAAGAAGCGCAAACATCATTCCACCATCAGTGTATTGTTATTTTACAGAAAGGCTGTGTCTTTCCTAACAGTAGCACTGCAGTGATTTCCAGTGGCCTGGACCAATGTTCAAAGGCCTGTTTTGACTACAATTTAAACTGTGATGACTGTTTGCAAAACAACAACACAAACAAGCATGATTACAAAATTAATTGAGAAACACAAACCTTCGAATGCAAGGTGAATATCCATGAGTGGACTGAAGACTTGGAAGTGACAGACACGTTCAAGTCAGAGTTGACCGTCACTTTCACGTCCTCAACTGCCTCGGACACCTGTCAACAAAACCAGTTAACTTTTTTAATGAATCCACTAATAATCTATCAAACTTTTACACAAAAGAACACCCCATATTCATTATGATTCTAGTGCTTTAGTGGAAGCATAACACAGTCATCCCATCCTTAATTTGTTTACAAAAGGAAAACCACACTTAGAACCATGTATCAAAGAGCCATCAGAGTCTACTGTTTTGAGAATCGTATCCAGTAACACTCACACGTGAATGTTATTGGACACATTTTGCAAGTAAGGTCACCCATTGGCTTGTAAATAAGAATGGTTAACAGAGCTGATGCTCACCAAGGCAAGAGTTTCTCAACATTTTCCAATAGTGAAAACTGAAACAAGAGCTAAAAACCAAAAAGATTTCACTATCAGCACCTTTTCTACCCATAACACTGACCACATTCAGAGGCATGGGTGATGTCATCCACTTCTCCAGTAGCTGCTCTGCATAGCTGTTGCCGTGGAGCTGTTTCTCCCGAGCCCTTTTCAGCTTCATCTCGCGATACCTGTATCTTTCCCGCCACTCTCCCAGCTCGTCCTCCGAGTGCGCTGATGTGCACTGCTCCCCAAAACGGCACTTGTGGCGACTGGTAGAACACACAAAAGAAAAGTCCTGGAACTTTGGAGTGTCTCAAAGCATGGAAAGCTTGGAACAAGATAGCATCTACTTGATGACGTCTTGATGAGGAAATACGTTGACACAGAAGTATTGCCCATATGCAGTTAATCAATTTTTGTGTAGAAACACTTTAATGTTACAGGCTGTGAGAGTAAAACTTTTGTGTCGCTTTGCCATTGCACTGGTAATCTGGCTTCATGCCACTTTGCAGATAAAACAACAGAAACAGATATATACCGTCAAATTTTCATTTTTTTTAAACAACAAATAACTACAGAAAGTAACAGAATATCCATTAAAAACCAGTCTAAACCTGAATTCTTACAGAATTGTTTTTTCTTCACCCCATATTTGTAGTATTTTACAAGATTTGCATTCCAGGCAGCAGGTTTTGCTGTGTGCGCCAACTCTGGAGAAATAGGGGTAAATTTAGGGACACTGTTTGGTTACTACAGGTGGTTTCACTGAAGGTCTTGTGTGGGGAAACCTGAAGTTGAGTTGATTTGATTGTTATTCTGCGGCAGACACTTACTCAGGGCATATGATGTAATCCACACCCGTTATTCCCCGTGGGGGCGGTCTGTACTTCCAGTCCCGCCCATCATCAGACATAATGATGGCTTGGTGGGCCTGCCCCATGCAATGCAGATGCAGGTCCACATCCGTAGCACACTGGACGTCACAATATGTACAATATAGTTTAGACTCTGTTCACAGAGAGAAAAAATATGGAACATTACGTACAGTTGGAGAGGTATCTTGAGATTGTTTGCATTGGAATTATAAATGTGGATTTAAATTTACATGCTGCACATTAACTGGCTTTGTAATTCAGAGGACAAGGTAACATTTTGATCATGCAATAATGCTATTTACATAGATAAAAAATGTTGTGAAACAGGAGCTTTTTGTAGTCTATGCCCCTGCATTTTACCACAAAGAGGCCACCATGTAACTTCACACCATGAATGCTGCATGCACAGTCTCACGGTTAATCATTCCTTCGTCACTGTTTGCAAACACAAAAGCCCCCAGAAGCCTTGCATGCAGATTTGTTGCCAAAATTTCCACCTTGTATCATACAAGTACACAATGAAAACCTACAAAGCACAGAATACACGTGAATGTATGCCAAAAAAGTCAAGATTTCTCTGATGCCAAATAAAAACAGGTCTCTCCTTGATAACCTCTTGGTGACACACTGTTCTCCAAATTGCTCCTACAGATGCATACAATCATGTTCAGCAAGGCCTTCAGTCTTCACTTAGATCCTTTAAGGTCATAACATGACCTCTGTATTTTCTGCATTGATTTCATACACCTCTGCCTCAAAGTACCCTCCATGTGGTGCTTTGGCCATTAAATTGGTCCAGTTCTTTAACGACATCAACCCTTGCTATTTACCTCCTGATTTGGATGACCTTGTTTTCTGTTTCCCCTCCCCGCTTGCATTCCTCTCCCTTGTTTGTGATGGTGCTGCCCCAGATCCTGTGTTGCTGGCACTACTTTGGGCTGTTCTACTTCCTCCGGGAGGGTGTCGATTGGCGACGTGTGAGAGTGTGCTTGGTGCTGTGTTTCCTACATTATTTACACCCCTGTCAACTGTTTCCTATAATTCAAAAGAACAAGAAAATAATCTATGAGGGGAAATACAGCAGAATTGAGTCAAGACAGCATGTAGGTATCAGTCATTTGTGGTAGAATATTTTTATTTTCAATAACAGCAAAATTATCTTTCTATACAACCCTACGTACTCCATGCAAAGACTTTGCATGATTTCAATCGATTTAGGACTGTAAAAAGAGGCCATCACTTGTTTACAAGGGCCTTTGAGTGAATAAAATTAGATGACTTATGTGTTAAATACTGGCTTATTTCAGATACTTGAAGCAGTGAAATTGGGGTTCCACAAGGGTAATCTACAGGTATGTGAAGGCAATAAAAACCTCAATGTCAACCTGGCATTTAATGTCAACATTTTTGCTGCCTCCAAAACAAAGACTTGCTTCTGAACTGCCACCTCTGGTACACTGGTTCAGTTCCAGAAATGACCTGAGTGACAGATCCAGGGTGATGTATAATCCTTCACCTGTGATGATATCACACTGTCACATAACTTTATTCCAAAACAAGGCGGGAGGGGGGGTTTACAATCTAAATAATTCTTTACGTCAAAAAATTGTGAAGGAAAACCACTTACCCCCATCTGCTGCAAAGCTTTCTTTAATCTGTTCATTTCTTTGGATGCTTGCGGATTCTGAGAAGGTAAAGAACAAAGAAGGCTTTAAAGGATAAAAAGTAAAACTTCGGGAGCAAAAATCTACTAAGGGAAAAGCAGGCAGCAGCCTATCAATCCAGCTTGCACAGGAACATGAGGGAATGAGGGGAAAAATTGCACAGGAAAGGCAAATTAAAATTCCAGTGACCAACTTTATCACCTCAGTGCAGGGGTTAAGAGCAGAACATTGTGAGCTGGTGTGTCAATCGTAGTATGGTACTTGGAAGGGTGTATCCCTAATCTAGTATTAATACCGCCAAATCCTCCTGTTTGTAATCGAACTATAAAGTCACTGCGGAAGCCATAATTCTTTTCACAGGGTTGCCAGAACTCTTAAAGGGCAAGGAATTATTTTTTGCTGCTTGAATTCTCGAAGTCACTTGTGTGTCTTATTTACATGCACCTTTCCTTTCAACGTTTGTGTAGTAATTCTCAAGATCTTCCAGGACTTTTTATTTTAATTTTCCATTTAATTTTCATGAGCATATCATTCTTGTCATAGAAACATCATTGAATGTACACGTATGAGCAAAAGAAATCCAACAGTACTTTTTTGATAATGTCCATTTTCTTTTTCAGGACATCCCGCATTTTATTTCAACCAAATGGGCCGCTTGAGAAAATAACAATTCTACTTCATAAATGTAAGTGAAGTGAAACGGCAACTGATGTTAGCAGAACAACATTTTTAAGTAAAACAATTTTCTACCGAATTTGAATGAACAGAACTAACAAATTATGCAAGTAAAATTTTAAAAATTGTTTCACAAGTTTTCTCTCCAATCTCACCTCTCTTGACACATTAGGGTTTTCTCCAAAAATCTGAATTCTTATCAGGCATTAAATTTGGCTTCAACAAAAGGTAAGAAAATTTTGTTTTCCTGGGGCCAGTTTTCATTTCTATTTTAATTTCAGTAAAAAGCGTTGAACCCACTGTTGAAAAGTGTACTTTACAAAATTGAAATGTGATTTTTATATCAAGTGTATAAGCCATACAGAAAATTCTAAACAGCACCCATAGTAATAAAAAATAAGGAAGCTGTAAACAGATAACAAAGCAAGTCCTATGAAAAAGATGAAAAGGGAGGCTAGTTTTTTCTTTATTTCAAACAGACCAGAGGCAAAGATATTGTCAAAGAAGGTGGTAAACTGTGAAAATTCTCCTAAAGTTACTTTGAAACAAACCTCTTCAAACCAAGGTTCTCACCTGGATGTAGAAGCATGACTCAGCAACACTTTTTATCATGTTAAAAGAGTTATAGAATGTCAAACCCCAGGCAAGCAACACCAGTGTAACCCAGGGTTTGGTGTTGGCATACAAAATCATTGCTGGCTGATGAGTCTTGCTTCTTATCCTAACTGCCTGGGCACTGATTTGCACAGGACCATATACTGGTACCATGTAGGTTGGCTAGGGGCCTGATTTACTGTACATGTATGGTAAAAAGTACACAAATTGTACAACTACGTACTGGAGCCTGGGATACTCCAGTTTACTGCAAAAAGTGCAATGTATTTTGTAGCCTTAAGTGAGGTCAGGGGTCAAAGTGTAAGGCTGAGTTAGTTCAAATAATTCACTATTTGAATATTCGACCTTCAATTTGATCGAATATCCGAATATTCGGTCGAACTGACTGGCAGATTGTTGATGAACAAACCATATATAAAATCAATTGCACACAATTGTGCATTATGATAATAAACTAGCTTCTCACATTTGGGAGTATCTCCAGCCACGATTTTGCAGGATTTAAGAGATGAACGATACTTCTTGTCCTGTTGAAAATTTCTATTCCTTTTAAGTTGTTCAATGAATATTTTCTTTTTGAATCGTAGAATTTCTGTCGCTTTTCATTTGAATCTGCTTGAAACAAGCCTCCATAGTGCAATTTTTATCATTTAAAACAAAAGAAAATTTTCCTTTCCTTTTCATGAAATTTGCATTCCAATATTCAAATTCAGAAAATAACATTTGAATATTTGATAATCGATTGAATCATGTTTGATAATCAATCGAATATTGGGATATTCGGCACAGCCCTATCAGAGTGTCCTCCTGGCCTGTAAAAACAGACCCAGTAGCAAATGAAAACTGTCTTGCTCACAGAAAATATTTATAGTTTTTCATTAAAAATTAACTTTGCAGGTAGGCGAAACTTGCAGATGGGCTGGTCAACTGTAGAGTGAACAAGTGTAGATAATGAATGTAGGAAAGGCTTTTTAATGTCAGGCCTGTGATGGACCACTTTTATTAGGAGAAAAAATATGTGCTTGGCCAGTCTTAAACGTACATTTAAGACCGGCTCGGGAAATTGGACACGACTAATGCCCCAGCCACAGGCAAGGGCATTATCAGCATTCAGTCTCCTGGGGGCCAAGTACACATTCATTCCCATTCATAAATAACTTTTAGTTTGGAGTCAAAAGCAGTGAAAGTATGATGATTTCCAATGATGTTGTTTTTTAAATTTACTCTCATTTTCCCGAACACCCGCATCCATTTTATGGTATATTCCTTGTGCAAGTTGACCAAAAGAATTTCCTTACTTGGAGTTTCTGTCTGAGCCATGTGCACAGACTCTTGACCAATCAGATTCAATTAAACTGTCTCATATCCAGGTGCTGGCGTGTGATTTACGCATTATCAAATGTTAATACATGGACAAGTTGCACGATGATGAATAGGCAAACTGTCTTAGGTATTTATGAATGCACATTAGAGAATTGGTACTGAACGATAGAAAAGGTACTGAACGATGCTTTTCTTGTTTCTCCTACTGCACTGTCACCAGATTTATGCTAACATACTGAACATGTAAGATCTACACCAAATTGAGAACAAAAATCCGTTGACATAATATCTGAAATGTAGTTTAAAAGAGTATGTTTTACCAAAACATTCTCTCTCAGAAATTTCTGATATGATCCATTTCGGTCCTTTTTTATATATTGTGCCTCTTGAAAACTATGCAGATTCTTTAATTAAATATTATAGAGACCCCCCCCCCAATTTTTTTAAAAGGACCGTTTGAACAGACCTTTGGCTCTACGCTGGTCCAGGCTTTGGCTGTCTCATATGCCTCCTTGATCCGACCCAGTCGGGAAAGGGCTTGTGTCTTCCTTGTGAGGGCCTTGGCCATGCCACTACGGTTTCGTGGCGACATGGACAAGAGCTGGTTGCAGTCTTCCAGCGTGTTCTCATATTGCTCCTGGTCACGGACAAGGGGGGGAAACTTGGGTTACATGTAAATGAAGACAAGACAAGGAAGTACCGTGGAAGAAAAAAGTGGAACTGGTCAGCAAATTTGAAACCACCCATTGCAGAGTACCACACATGTAGAAGTATGCGTATAGATGAAGTTGTTTCATCTAACCTACCCCCTTCTCTCATCCATCAAGTTTATGAAGTTGCATTTTTAATGCACATCTGGTAATATTTTCTGGAGGGATGCTCTTCATGCCACCTAAAAGTAACAACTACACAACACAGTTACATGCTACACACATGGGTAAGGAAAACCAAGTCTAGGCCGAATTCCATATAGTTGTCAAGCAGAATACATATTGCCCAGTTATTTTTTGTGCAATACGCCAAAAAATTTAGCTGAGGGCCGAATATACAGTATACACATCGCATAGCATTTGGTAGAGCAACCTGTGCTTGCTAAATAAATAATTTCTGCACTTGTTGAATCTCTGTGTTGGGCAGACATATGAAATTGGCCCCAGGTTTTTTTTTTTACCAATTTGAGATAGCAGACGGAGCGCTTGTTGATGTAGGACAGCTGGAGCTCCCTGTGCTGATTGGAGACCGAGGGATTGATGAACTCCAATGCCTGGGTGAACAACTCCGCCGCCTCGCGGTACTGTTGCCGTAGGTAGCGATCATTGGCCTTCTCATGGAGCTGCTTGTGCCTGCTATCCATAGTATGCCACCTTAACCTGGGCGGAGAAAAGTTGGTAGGTCATTAGAGACCTGTCTAATAACAGGTGCATCCTCTTAAGAAAAAAGCAAATAGTGTGAAGAGTAAGTACTGGTTGTAAACTTGATGGATTGATATGTGTATGGAAATGTTGTGAATACAGTGGACCTGATTCTGATAGAATAGGAGCCACTTTTGTAGTTTTGGTGAAGGGATGCAGCACAATGGCCATTTGGCTTGGATTAGTAAAGTGCAACCATTTGGGGAAGGAGTGGTTAGCAGGAAAGTTTTGAAAAAAGAAAAGACCATGCCTTATATCTGAGGAAAAACTGGCAAGACCCTTGTCAATCTGGAGAAAACCTGATGTTAAAATAAAGAGACAAAGGGGCCTTCTTTGGTTTTCACTTTCAATAAAATAAAATAAGGGACTTCATGGTGTAAAAGTCTGAGTGCTCACTTTTAAATTCTCAACTCATCACAGGTTTTAAGGGATTCTTTTGGAGAGTGCACCTGGTGAGGATTTTAACCCTTGCGGATGGTATTTTTTGGCCAAAAATGATGACTTTTGAAAAAAAAATGCACAAAATTCATGAAGCAACAAATTTTTGATATATATATACTAGACTCATCTGAACAATAGTTGTGTGAAAATTCTTGCCACAACCTCATATTCTTCAACATTTCGAGCACAGCCATGGTGCATATTTGCTACAACGCGAGACATGCACAGCAACTAAGTTCAAGTTCAACTCACAGATAAAGGTCATAGAGGTCTTACAGACCTTCACATCTGATTTGGGCAACCAATATGCCTAATGCACTCAACTGCAAGGATGGGGGGTGGTAAGCGTACATGTAGGCAAAGGTCATTAGGGAATCATACAGGTAGGCCCTACATGATAGAAACACACTTCTAAATCCTATCAGATGTTTTAATATTCGGGGAGACAAAGTGATCTTACCCGGTCACAGATACAAAATCCTTCTTCAAAAAATTTCAGGCAGTTAAATATGAAGGTTTGGTGGAAATATGGAAAGGTAGGAGAGTTTCGTGTCTGAAGTGAAATGCTCGACTTCACAAAAACCATGCATGTAAAACCAGACCACCAACTGGTAGATTTACCCGTAACACCAAGCTCCATGTGACCATGCCAAATCCGAGATTTCTGTGGTTTTCACTACACTTGGGATATGGGCTGATGTATATAGAATGTACATGGTAAAAATGTACCACCCCCCCTTCCCCTTCATGTAATTTTCTACCAAAATTACCTTTCTGTCTACAAGCAGGTGGCATCACAGACATGTTACAGCTTGCCTACCTGCATTGTATTCTCACAACCACCCACTGACTCCCTACAGTCCAAACAGACCACAAGACAAATACAGGCTGTAGGTCTTATAACACAATACAAATGACCTTTGACCCCATCACAGCTGCACTGATCAGTGGTTGGTCCTGTCAGGCAAACATGAGGCTTTGAGGGTAGGAACAAACAGTTATCATGTTTATGACACATGCTGGTACATGTAATTATTTCTTCTAAATGTGTTTAATACATGAAGTGTACATAACTGTACATGTTCAGTACCGGTACAATAGAATATTGTAACACTTTGGTACACAGAAGAATACACATCTGAAACCCTTCAGATACATTGTATCTTCCTCTTAAATACAGTTTTCATGTCACCAATGTTATAGAGGAAGGAAACCTTGATGCTAATTTACATTTACATGTATGTTCTGCCTTCAGCTGTTCCTACCCTGTAAATCAACAAGTACATGTGCAAAACAATTGCTACAAATTAGCAAAAATGTTAGTTGAAATACCAGTAACTTCATTTGAAATGATTTTAATTCTGATTTTAAATGAATGTTGCTTGACAAATATGGCGTAATTCTTATGGGCCATGTAACCATCCGAGTGAACAAAAAAATTTCATTTGCCAACAAGCATTTACAGTTTTCCATTCATATACACATTTACACGTACCTTCTGGTGGTTTACTAAGTAGGATAAGTGAACAAAATTGTTAAGTTTCTATACATCTAAGCAGTGATGAACTTATAAATTCTCTTAAAATCTCTCTTGTTCCTATCCCTAAAACAATAAAGAAAGCATTCGATGTGACCTCAAATTTGGTTAGTGATATATGAGTAAACTTGGGGGCCGTCCTTTTATTCGAGCATTCTCTCAAGCATACAGAGAGCACTCGTTTAAATTCTGGACCATCTTAACTAAAGAGGTAATAATGCAAATGATTTCTTTGCAGGGCTTCATCACCATTTTTAATATTTTTGAAAAGCGTAAATGGCCCTTAGACTCTCTCCCTCCAAGCAAGCTAAAAGGTATGGGTGCTTGGAGGAGCAAATTCATCACACCTGAGTAATTTGATCATATGTATATTGTATAATAAAGTTACATTGTAACTAGTATCTGTGTTGCATGATGCATCAGAGGGTGTAATCAAGATCACATACTAGTACACGTAAGACAATTAAACAGAAGTGCTTGGCTAGATTAAAATTAAAAGGCAAGAATTTACCGAAAAATATTTCAGACGGAACTACAAGTATAATATCCCACATGTACACTGTATGTTCTTGAAAAGTGTGGTATGTATGGACATATATGGTATGTGGTATGTGGTATTTAGCACTGTGCGTGACACCTTGCAGCTTACAACATGTGGCAGATAAAAAAAGTTGATGTCTACCTATCTTTCATGTTTAATTTCACCCCTGCTATCCCTGGTGAACAATCCAATCTAGTACATGTAGTGTACATTTAAGCTTAAAGAACTGGGTACCTTATTGAGGTACTAGTACATGCAGACCTGTACCATGAAAGAAACCAACATTTCAACATTCAAAGACAAAAGAAAAAGCAAACATTAAAATGGATTCAGACTGTGAAATCTGCTTTGTCATCAACAACCTTCAGGCAGAAAAGTGAAATTTCTAGTTTACATTTTAAATTTACCCACAAAAACCTTTTATTTTTTTCTTATTTGTTAAAAAAGATTAATGACCAATTTTTAAAGGTTATAGGTACAGGTTCCAGATTTCAAGAATTGGAACCTTTTTTTACACCATCAGTAGGGTATTGCATACCACTACTCAGTTTCAATGGACAGCCCTAATGCAACCATTTACTCTCAAAAAAAAAAAGAAAAGAATGTGGCAAGCATGCAGTTATGGTTGTTGAGAAAATGACTATGCACTTCACCAGTGGACTTCAAAATCATGTACATGTTTAATGCTGGTAAACAGCAGGCAGCTGTAAATTTACCTTCCTTAATGCAAACCATGGAAACATTTACTCAGTTTTGAGAACTGTCAAGTAAAAGGAACCCATAATTAGTGTTCCACCATGGCACTCAATTTCATTGTAATGGCTGTAATTTAGGAGGACCAACTGGATTGAGAAGACGCAAGCACAAGGGGATACAGGTAAACTTCACCTACATGTACACACATGTACCAGACTACCAGAACATATGTGTATCTACCCTAGTTTCTAAATGCCTGTGACAAATGCCAGGACATTGTTTTTAAAGGGGCAAGGCAATTTCTCTTTTGCAAAGGACATCAGCAGGAGAAATCAACTTGTCTACGGGAATTTTTCAATGGGCATCAAGGCAAAGACCAGGGGCATCAAGGCCATCGCTTTCAAAGCCTGTGCCATGAAGCTCCTGCCCTGAAGTGCATTTGCTGAGAAACTTCCAGGATCCTCAAATCTCTACCACACAAAAGGAAATCAAAGGCACATTCTTTGAGCTAAAGTTATCAACTTAACATATCAATTTCCACCATGCACAAAGTAAACAAAATAAAAGCAACTAATTGCCATTATTTAGTCCATGACACCAAACAGTAACTGTATTTTGTCAGTGGGCGTTCCTGTGCTTTGTGGTACATGTAGTTGGAATCTAGGCTAGTCCCATACATGTAGGTTAGTTGGGACTGTCCAGACATAACAGATTCACTACATAAAGAAAAATCTCCTTCAGGCTCAGGTGCTGGAGAACCATCTCAGTGAATGAACTGAACTACATGTACATTTACTGTGTCGCAAACTTAGCATATCCTACCATCCTACCATGATCCTACCCTCTCCCCCAGGAGGACTGTTGATAAGGGTTTGGTCATGTTTTTCATAAGTATTTTACCATCAATTGGCAAATATGGCCTCCCCAGAGGTGGGGATTTTTGTGGCAATACCCACATCTTGGCCGGCCCTAGCAAAACAGCTGATAGGCACAAAGTAAGGATAAACGTAGGGCACTTAGGAAGTTGTTCAATTTGCAGTTACAGAACTTTTCAAGACATAACCCGTAACCCCCAGCCTGCAACCTTGCCAGACACATCAAACTGCACAGTGGCCTGCCTGCCCAGTGTAGCAAGATCCTACAGGTCAACTCTCCCAAGGCCAAACAAGCTGGGAGTCAGTGGTTGACAGTCACCACAAGATCTAACAGTGGCATTGTCTCATTGTCTGAGCTTGTTTGGCTGTTCTTGATTGCCAATTGCATCAAATTGCATGAGACATTTTCACCTGATGCACTGTGCCCTTCTGGCAGGGTCAGAGATAATCAATTAAAAACACAATTACAGGGCTTCAAACATCCAGCTAGAACATAACAGACGTAGCCAAAGATAAAAATAAATGCACTTTGTACACAAACTTACATAATTAGACTTACATGTAGGTCCTGCTCCAACAACACACATTCATGTATGACAGTAACCACCAAGTAACAGCCAACCAAATTCTACTCTTTTTTGGAGGGGTTGTGTTTATTCAACCAGAAATAAGCCTACAGTCAGTGACATATTTTAATTCCTCAGTCAAGATAAAAAAAGCCTGAACTAACTTTCTTAAATATTATTTTGTTGTTCATTTCACTCAATTTTGCACAAGAGGTCCCATACATGTGACAGCATAAGAATAACCTAAAGTGAGTAATTCTCATGCTCGGTGCATGAGAGTAAACCTTTTAAATGTTCACAATACATTGTTAGGATGATAAATGAACAATGCATTTTATGCACAATCCTATGGAAGAAGCGTACTTGCAAAACATTGATTTGTTTCCATTAATACTCCAATTCAAGATATACTCTTTTGACACAGTGTTGAATTGTAGATTTGGGATAATGATATTTACAAACCTAAATTTGTAAAGCTCATCAGAACAGGAAAATTGGGAAATTCCTTCCCAAGAACCCCAGTTCTTGTAATGGACTAAGACCATGAATACTTATAATCCAGTTTTGGCCACTCTGAATCAGGGCATGGACCTCATTCATCCTGTTCATTTTCAGCCTGAAGTACCTGGTGCCCATTAGAAAATTAAGGATGAATTTTTTCTATAATATTTGGAAAATACTTTTTAGACTAGGCCCCAAGTGTGTCTTTGTGACTTGATAAGCAGGTATTTAAGACAATTTTGAAGAAACTTCTAAATTACTTTCTAACTGGTTCACTTCCCAGTTCGTGCATAAAATGCATGGCTTATTAGTCATCCAAACCCCATAATACATTCTGAATGTCAAAAAGGTCTGTTGTCAGTTCCTCTACTAAAACATTAAGCTCAATGGCAGAATACCTCACCACCCCGCACAATCAACCTCATACCAGGTACAGGTAAAAGTGTCATACTCTTCTCAAGGGATTTTCACCTTGTACCCACGTAACCAGTCATTCCAGGGGTTGTTTTTAGAGTGGCAGGGTATTTTGCAATTACTCCAAAAACTAAAACATCATTCCCACATTGCGGCACTCAGTAATTGTTACCTGTCACCATAATGCCAATTGCCATGGTCACTCTCACAATCACATTCAGAATGATGTAAACTGCAAGAGTAGCCTCAGCCCAATTATTTATAAAAAAAAGAACTGAGGGGACTTCTTTCCATCTTCTGATCTTTGCCCAACCAATATTATGACATATTGAACTTGCTAAGAGCTTGTTGTAACAAATAGCTTAAACATACGATACACGCACAGCCACCCTGGGCCACAGACTTCAAGCCAGCTGTCTTTGACTGGAGTCTGCGTATAATGCCAGCGCAGCGTAGGTACGTACCTGTACGCGTGACGCATTATCATTCAGAGTTCGTACATTGTGGAACTTTTCTTTATTTACATCGCATTTCAACACCCGCAGCTCACAAATACACGCTCATTCGACCTCAGTCGTTCACAAATTTGATACTAACGTATTTCTCTATTCTCCACAGAGTTAACGTCTCCAGCAGGTGTGCTCTGTTCATTAAAGTCTCTCACAATACTTACCTAAAAATTGCACTTCACTCATCATCGCAATCACTTCTTCTCTTCTTCGTCCGCCATTTTGGGTGGTCGTCAGCTCTCTGTGGGAAACCGCGCGAGGGCTCCCTCCAAAGTCACATGATCGATCGGTGTTTTGGCGTTTTTCCGCTGGAGATTAACTTGCAGGTGAGCTGAGCTGCAAATATATCAATCAGTAATTACAAAACTGAAGATTTATTTGAACTAATTAACATGTTTGGCAAAAAAAGAAAACTTGTGTTTTGAGATATTTTGCTGAAATCGTATAACCGGTAATAATCCATTTAATTTGATTGCCTGTTAGTAAAATCCACACTTTCCATCCCTTTATATCAACAATGGAATGTCCCACTGAGCCCTGCTGTAGCAAAACTGAAACCCGTACCGTTGTCGGTGTCTTTCTCGTCAAGGTGTCGTTTTCGAGAAACGTCTGCCAGTTAATTTCTGAGAATTTCGACACTTTTCCCTTCACTATTGGCAGAGGTTGAAGTGGACTTATTTGCCAAAAATTAGTTTTGAAGAATCTACGAGTTCTGACGGACATGCCACTGATGCTAGTATCGCAGTAGACGAGTAAAGCACATCTCATGCGGTAAGAAATCTCTTTATCTGAATGTTCTTGTTTGAAATCATGCATGATGCCATGGTTCAGCCATAGGAAACAAAGGTGTAGCCCAGGTTGGACGTTGTCTTCATTTAATTTAATACAACTGACGTCCAGGTTTTGAGACTTGTGTACAAAATGACCACAAATTTGGTTCTTATTTGTTCTTGGTTTACCTAGTTAAAGAAACTAATTTTCACACAAGTTCTTCCGGCCTTTCTATCCGTCTGGGCCTGGGGGGGTTAGGAATTTCAGAACGAACCATGGACTGCAAAATCAAGGAAAATAAGTGGCAGACAATGTTACTTTTGTAGATGTAGTTCATCTGTTCTCGAGTTGTAAAGTGCACGCACGTACAAGAATCCGAGCTGAAGCTCTGTTACAGGCCGATATAAAAAAATGCATGTTCTGTTTTGTCCGATCAGCAATGGAAATGAGGAAAAAATGATAAGCAAACATGCTAATCAAATTGCCATTTGATTAGCAATTTGAATAAATTGACTAGCAAAAACAAATGCAACAACGTGTGTAATAAAAATTTTCATTTTCAAACCGTTGTACTGAATGTGTTCACCCTCGTAATGTGGGTGCCAGAAATGTGTCACTGGCATCCTGCACTTTATGCATACAAACTGCATGAGTAGCGGTAGAAACCAGCGTGGTTGAAACATCCATTCGCCCCAGTTAAAGCTATGATGAACAGGGGACGAATACGGACGATCGCAATGTGATTGTGTATGTCCATATGCATTGTACATGCACCAATATCGTACACACGTGTCGAATATCATATACATATGATATGTCCTTAAAATTGTGATGACATCGCAAGTTGTGAATGTACACAAAACAAAATGGCATCCACGGTGGTACATGTATTTAACATGTTGCTGAAAATGTGTATTTTGTCTTATTTGTTGCCATTTTGTATAGAGCTAAAAAGAAGTTTTTAAAAACCTTATGGTTAGTCATAAGTTAGTTAGATGCTATCAGTTAGATATAGCATTAATGCGCTCATCACATGATTTCCATTTTTCGTCCATTTTTTCGTGATTGACTGAATTCAAAGAAGTCTCCCTAAAAATTAGTTCTGTTATGTCAGGAGGTGTAGAGCTAATGATTTTCTGCAGTAGTGGAAAACGGACAGAATTCGCAGAATCAACACTTTGAAACTGAATCCACTGCTTGAGAGGGAATTTTCAAAATTTCCCTCTAAGAATGGTTTAAAAAGTAAAGAAAACTTTCTGCAAAGTACTAAAAAATAAATGCCTACCAAACCCTTTTCAAATGCTTGCTTTTAATGAACGGATTAATGTACCTTGCAAGTGGTATGGCGTGCGTGAGCCCCATGCATACAACGGCAGCCAGCACGGCACATTGGCCATTCACACGCTCACCATACTAGCAATGAAATCAAAGCGCAAACAAGTTCTTACTCACACACATGACTATTGCACACGTGGGGAATTTAGTCTGTGAATCCGCATGGACGCCTTGAGACAAGGCCAGTACCGCATGGCGAAACAAAAGACTAAATACACGTTTCTTGAATTAGACGAAACCTAGTAAGCTTGATGTACCATAGCTGAATGGACCCTCAGAAGTGTTCTGTAAAGAGTGGCGTTTTCAGTCACAGACATACATTTTAAGGCTCAGATTTAATGTTAACTTTCTGAATTTTGTCGCACTACTGCCAAATAAAATGGCGGGTCGATGTCCAACATTGACATATTTTGATCGACTGTTACATGCAAGATCTACTTGCATGTAACAGTCATGTACATGTATGCAATCTGATTTCGTACATGAGGAGGGCACATGAATTGTCCATTGATTAATTCTAGCAAGTTTTTGTTGACTACACGCCGGTGGGAGATCAAGGGAGGGGGTGTGAAGTATTTAATATTTGAATTCTTTTTAAATTTTCACTACAGAAATTATTTCAATAATTTGGAAACACTGCAGAGAATTTCCAAACAATACTGTTGTTATTTTTGTTTCTTTTTATTCTTTTTTTATGGGGGGGGCGGTGATGTGGTTGGGTAAATGGTTTCCATGCATAGTTTAAAATTTGCTCTCCTATTTCATGCTGGACCTTTTACATTTTTTTATGCAGAGGTATTACAGTAAAATCTTTCCTAAGTGCAAAACAGACGCCAGAGGACACACTTTATGAGGCGCAAAGTGACCATGACACAATGTGACACCTCCCACTTGAACTAATAATGTTATGGAAGCAGATGAATATTACGTACAGTCGAGTCTCTGTAATATAAGTTTGGGTAGGACGAGGCTTCAGTTTAGATGAGCATATTTGCCACTCCTGACTGAATTGTGTACATTCCTATGATATGAGCTCAGATGTTAGGAGATTTTGGTTAAGAGGAGCATATCTTGTGCACCGGCTGAGTGCAAATCTGTTTTATCTGTCTATTTAGCACAAGCTTTTTTGAAGTCAACTTGAAGGTGAAGGGTGAAAAGGTGAAAAAATGTAGTGTGCGGCTAGGGTGGTGAAATCCCCAAACAAGTCATCTTCCCGTCGACTTTTTCCTTGTTACTATCTACGTGCTCATAGCTATTGAATGAGGTGAAAGTTTTCCCAGCCATGCGCGCAAACTTGTCACATTTTCACAGATTTAGAACTTGAACAGACTGGAGTACATTTGCACCACTAAAGCCCACACAGTTCAATTTAGACATGTAGGAAGCCATTAGACGCAGTCAAATGTACTTTAGTAAAGTGTTGTGTGTGATTTTGGGAACTTTTGAAATGACAACTGTGTATAAGTTTTTATTAATTACTGTTAGTGGGGCATTAGTACGAACAATCAAGTCCAAAATTTTAAAAAAAGGAGTTCTAATGCCTCATTTATTGGTTTTAAAGCTGGCATGAAAAACTGAATATGGCCAATGAGAGTTTTAGGATGGAAAGTTTACCTCGGCAAAGCTTCATCTGGTTCCATGCTTACAAAACGTGATCACGAGATTGAATTTAGACTTAGTACAATTTTTGACTTCTTTCCATTAAAATTCTGCAGATCCCGCAAAGAAAATGAAATATCTTGCAGTGTATTGTAGGAATTAATTTAAGACACAAGGATAATCTTGGTAGAAAAAAACTCCAAAATGCTCAGAGTGTGTTTGAACCATGTCTTCCGCCATGTGCTGTAACCACTTAACCACTCATTTGGTCAAGAATGGTGAATTTACTGATTATGTATCATCAGTTTCATGCCGGCATTGAAAAAAGATGAAGTGCAACCGGATGCCAGCAAAATACACACTTGGTTTAAATGGAAGATAATGTGCTTGAAGACTTCTTATGTAGTGGGTCATCAAGGAGGGCAGTTTGACATTAAAATTGAGTGTCAGTAATTGAACAAAGCCTATACTTGTGCACATTGCACATGAGGGTTTCACACAAGCTGAACTTTCACGCACCGGTGTGAGCCTTTCTGTGTGCAAAAGCAATGGGAATCACTGAAGTTGAGAATGAGTATATAAACATCTGGTACTGCAAACAGAAATTGCTGATGCATGTTGATGAGTCATCTGTGAACTTTCACAGAAACATTTTTCAGGTTCAAATACCGTCCTGTTCTAGCATGGAGCTCTGGTTTATGTGAATATAAACGCCTGAAAAACAGTGGCAAATGCTTTTGTATTTTTCAGGCCACTTTAAAGGTGAAGGATGTCATCTGTTCACTACAAGTTCAAAAGCAGCATTGAATATGACACGGTGACCTTCGATGGACTCCACATCTCACTAGCAGATCTAAAAAAGGCCATTTGCACCCAGAAGAAAATTACCAGGGCAGAGTTTGATCTGCAGGTCACCAATGCACAAACTGGGGAAGGTATGTGCCTGCATGTGTGGTGTTTCTGTATTTTCTCCAAGAAAAGTTTTGTGTATTCTTGGCCTAAGACATAGGTGATCTATAGCAACGATCGCGCGACTGACAATGAACCATTTTACAATCACTGATTTGTTCTCTAGGAAAGCTGTGGAAGAAAAGATAAACCACACAAGCTTACAAGATTAGCAAGACGTTTGTGCGGGCAAGGACACTGGTCTTGTTTCTGAGTCATTAGAAGCACAATCAATTAACTGTCTCTCTGGGTCAAGGCTATGATTTGTGCTGCTGAACTGAACACTTTTTTTTAAGTGGCTCTACCCCGTCAAGCAATGACTCATTCACAGTTGCATATCAGTGATGAATGATCATTGACTATACTTAGACATTTTACCATTTATTGTTTTTTTCACATTTTCAGAATATGTCAACAATGATGCCTTGATACCTAAAAATGCATCTGTGGTGATTGTGAGAGTACCCATCGGTGGAGTCAGAGCCAACATCGTTGCGTAAGTAAAAACAGCCATTTCATTCTAGACTAATAAATACTTTAAAAAGGACAGGTTTTGGGTTTTTTTCCCAGAAGTAAAAGTTATTATAAATTGGAGAATCTTAACTAAAAATCAAGCTTGGAACCAGCCAAGAGCAGTATGTCACCATATTATAATAATTTTGTGTGTGTTTTTTGCTTTCCATAGAATCAATTCTTTTTAATTCACTAAGTAAGGCTTCACTTTCATATTTCTGTCAAACAACAATGTGTCTTAATGATCAAATTTTAGAATGATTTTGTAACTTTGTCCACAGGGAGCCACCAAAGATGGACAGCCAACAGAAACCAGTACGTATGGGTCATGGTGATGACACTTTCATTTCTCAGTGTCTAAATGTTATATCGATCAAGCTGCCAAGTAGGTATTCTCTGAAATATCTTGCACAGGGTATTTTCTGCAGTAACAGGTAGGCCGGTTGTCAGCCATTTCCTTCTTACATTTTCACGTCTTGATTTACGGGTACTGACTCTTTTTCTTACACAAAAAAGTGATTTTAGTACTTTCAGAACTCGATGATTTTTCTCAATATTGTCTGCAGTTATGTTTGTACCATGTTTATTGGTAACACTACATGCACTTATTATTTGCATTTTTGTTTGAACAAAACTGTAAACTGTATCAGACTACAAGGGAGCTTTGTTTTGTTTTATTTGAAATTTGAAACATAAAATTACCATTGCAATCAGAGTATCGTAGTGTATCTTGTGTATACCATGATACATGTAATTGTGCAATTATTATTTAGTAGCAAATACAGGAGAAGTTATTGGTCGTTTAGTATGCACAACATGGTTGTGTGGGGTTTGTTGTAGCTCACATTGAGCAGAGCTGAATTATGAGAAAAAATTTTTTTTTTAGCAGCCTAGGCTGTGTGGACAATTGTGTATGGTAAGCTCACATTGAGCATGAGTTCACTACTCAGAAAGTATATGAATCTTCAACAGTTAGTAATTGCTGTGCAATGCACTCTGTAAAGGAGGTCATGACTTTTCTGGCAGAGTACAGTTTTTCTGTAAGTGCGCTGGAGAGGCATGTTATTATTCCAATTTTCAGTGCTTCATTGTAATGGAGTATTTTTTCCCCTCTCCATGAAGATATTATTGTTTTGCTGTATGTACAGGCGAGTTTAATGTGTTTTGTTATTGATGAAATGTATCATGGGATTAGTGTCAACTACTGGTGACAACTTTCATACGCAGCTCATACTTGTGTAAATTTGATCCTGTAGTGGTTTTGAAAGGCAAGCATATCCTTTCAAATTAAATCGAACCTTGAATGCGTGTGATTTGTTGCCAAATCAATCAGAGTTATGTGCATGCGAAATTAGCAGAAGTCTTCATTTTTTGGATGAAAAAATGCTGAAAGTCATTTGTAGTGCCATTGCAGTTGAGTGCTTTTCTGTCATGTTTATGTAAAGAAATTTCTTGAACTGATAAAGTAGCAATGAAATATAATGCTCCCAGCCTCATTATCATGCACATCTCAAATATCGTAGTATTCTTCATTAGCTATGCCTAATATGACCAAAGACAAATATATGGAAACTTATGTTTTGCCCAATAAGTAACAAGTCTACAGTATTTTGCAGTTAAACTTATTTTGTGTTGAGTAATGGTATTGTGAGTCAACATTGAGAGAAGTCATCATGTAATCATGCTGATGTAAGTAAGTTGTTTGAAAAGGACTTTCTGCAGTTTTTAACATCAAGTAGTTAAATTCTGCATGTTCCACTTGTGGATCTTACAACTGTGAGCATTCTCTGCCAAGCAGATGGCACGCCTCTGTGCTGGGAAAATAGTGCCAGTCGGAATCTGCTCGTCGTCAGTGTCAATGCGGGTTTGCTTCACCTTCAATGGACATTTTGAGAACTGTATGCTGCCATGATTGCACTACTGCATTCTTACACTGGATATGCTGCCTATCAAAGGATCGATGCGCGGATCTGGATTTGTGTGTGGAGATGTGTATTGTATTGTGTAGAATATCTGGTGTGACAAGGTACACTGTGTATTGAGGAATCAGCATGGAAATTTCTGGCCTATTACATGCCTACCTGTTTGCACAGTACATTGGATCTACAGGAGAGCAAATAGCACACTATCACGGAGTTGCTTACCCTTACTGGGCACCATTTTAATTGATTTGGTGTGAAGTGCATCTAACTCATTACATCACAGATGCACCATTCTCTGATGCATTGAAAGTAGACAAGTTGCAGTGTATTGAAAGGAAAATGTACTAAATCAGCAGTATTTTGCATCAACTCTCATTTTATGAGACATAATTTGCTATTTGTGTGCAATTCTGATCAAAGATGATATGCCCTCAACACGGACATAGACGACAGATGGAAAGTTGAAAGTAAAAAATACTCATGATCTTCTTGTGGATGAATCACAAGTGGAAAAAAAGATGGACTTGTATCTGTCAAATTTATGTTGAATGCTTGACTACACGTTTTATACATTTTCAAGATATTAACTGATGGCAGTGCCATTTTGTTCTCTGAGAAAGTGGGCAGCATTATTGCTTAGGAAATAATCCAAATAGTTGGTCTACTTTAGAAATGCCAACTTTTGTGCCCACAAATTTGTCACAGAAACTGTCAGCTGTTGGTTGTAGTTGCATTTCATTACAAGGAAGTGCGGCAGCAGGGCTTTGCTAGTAACAAGACACCTATGATAAAAGTGAAAGGACCTTCTCTGCCCCTTCCCATGTCGTAACATTTTAAGATTGTTTCACATGAAAACATGAGAAGTTTTGAAACAAAATTATTGTAGCCATGATCATGTTGTATTGTTGGCATGCATTGTATGTTTAGCATTGCGCAGATTCATGGAGCCTCTTTTAGACTAGACGCTTTTGAGAGGGTTTAGCTTAAGTGTCATTAGGCGTGACTGGTTATGAGTTACTTGGGAGCTAATGTATACAAAAGTTTATGCATGTGCGAGTACAATTTTGTGTTGCTAACAGTAGCTATGTAAAAGTTGAATATGTGTAAAATTGTTTACCCAGTGAACTTTGCTATGGGTTTGTTTGAGTCTGTTTCATGCTTGCACAGATGTAACATATGCTATACAGATATAGGCCTGATCTATGGAGACAGGCTTTTGTACTTTATTGACAAGTTCTGAAGATGGCCAATCACAATAGGGAAGCAGGTGTACCTCTGGAATGTACATCATGCAGTAGCAGGCCTGCAGTGATGTTCAACATTTGGACAAATAAATGAACCCTAAAAGAACCTTTTGAGGGGACTTCTCACAACTGAGGTCAGCCCCCCTCTCCCACCCTGAAAAAAATTGCTGCCTCCTGTCCGCTCTTTTGGAAATTTAGCATGCGTCTGACGAAATTCATTATCAGTACAAATTTAAAGCTTCATCAATATCGGTTTAGTGTTGCGGTTATTTGAAGTTCATTGTCTCAAGTGGGTTGGCCCGCAAGCATTGAGTAAGTCAATGGAAATAGTAGGTATTTTTCGCTGGCCTGTCTTTGAAATATGGCAGGTGTTTGAGAATGGTGTATTCACAAAATCGGTGTCAAAATGACCTCAAGATGTTACTTTTAAAAAAAAAGCTCTCAGAGATTTGGTGCGTGAAAAAATGCACTTGAACAATATCGTTGAAAATGGGGTTGGTTATTCTGGGGGAGGGACAGATTTTGCCCCACTCCAGGGCTCTTTTAAGGTTTAAAATCAAATGCAACCCGGCTAAGGAAAGTACCTTATGGGAACATTTGAAGGGACAATGACTTAGCAGCTAAGTCTGTACTTGCATTTAAATCTGTTCATCTGCTGCATTGCAGGAGCACATAATCAAGCCAGCTGTTGCAGTGTTACATGTATGTGGGAAAAAAATTGTTCAATTTGGCTGATTGCCCTTCTGCCAGGCACACGTTTTTTTCCCTTAAAAAAATGAACAATCCATTGCACGTGTCTGTGTAGAAAGGCAATGATGCATCATAGATGGGGTTTTTGTGAAATTTAAGCAGTACATCTTGATTGTCTGGTCAAACTACATGATGGCAGCGAGTACTGAGTTGCACACGTACATGCATTTGGTGCAAAGGCGTGGATAAATGCCACGTCTGATTTCATGGAAATCCCTCTATAGCTAGGGGTGTCCGCATGCTTCCATACTAACAATTTATCAGCAAGCAGTGACTCTCTGGCAATATATAGGATGGAGGGATACCCCTGCTGTTACCTAACACATACCCCCTAGATTTCTGAAAGGAATTCCTGAGATTCCAGTGAACCAGTGACCAACACAAAGGGGAGGGTCTCTCTGTCCCATATCTTGCTTTAAATGGCAGTGACACTAATAAACTCGGATCAAAACTGCTTGATTTGACCAGTGTTCATTACCAGAAAGTTGTTTTGAGATGGACTTGATCTTGAAACCACAATACAAATGTGCTGCCATGTTTAAGAATCATTTTAATTCTTTCTGCTCCTTTTTTCTTAGTAGACGGCTAAAGGGCTAAAGAAATTTACCCTTAAATCACATACCAGTAGTTTGTGCTACGTTAGAATGTCGGTGGGAAAAAAAATGTTGTAAATTGCACGTAATGCATTAAGGTGTAAAATTTGTAGGGATACACCAAACACATGATTTGTGCCAGTATGTGACAACCAGCTTGTTATTCAAGGTACAGACTGTGGTGTAATTGTTTTAAAGGTTTTCACTCAATAATCCAACTCCCAAGAGTTGTCATGAAAGCAGTATTGGTGTATTGCTGAGATTCTTATACGAACATGTACAGTGCACAATGTCTAGATCCACAGTTTCACAAATTCAGAGGGGAAGACTTGCTCTGGTCTAAATTTTTCTTTATATGTTTAATGATCTTCGTGTAAAGTCCCCTGTGAAAGCGTGTGGATCTCCTCTGTGTATTACCTTATATTGTCCATTTCTGCTTGCACCCATATTTTCAAAGTAAATGTCAAATTAAATTATCAGCCAAGAGATGTTAATTTTGTTCACTCGACAGTGTCCATATTTTTGTATACTTGCATTTTTCCTCATGTTGCATCTATAATGAGGTTATTTTGAAATTACCGACTGAAATTTCAGGTTGTCCTGTGTTCTCATGTTTATAAATCTTCACATTTGAAATCTTTGGTAGTGCATGCTGCAATGATTATGCAACTTTGAGGCATCCCATCACAGTTGGAAGTGTACTTGTATCTTCATTTACTCTGTTAATATTATTTACGCACTTTTCATGCTTATGATTTTACTAATCTGAGTGATATTCAAGTATATGCAATAAATGATCAGAATTG